AACAGATTATACACTGGTGTCCAGACTTCAGTCACTCTTGCAGGCAGGTCAAGTGCAAAACCAAAACCCTGAACACGGGAAACAAAACCAGTTAAATTCAGTCCATCTTTTCCTTCACTACTGGATGTTTTCCCTACTGACAATGGCTTTGGGGGGAAAACTTGGGCCCCAAAACCACCAGTCTTCAATGACCAAACCTCCACTCGCTCCTGGAGACCCACCACGCAACAAAGACGCTCCACTCGCTCTGTGCACCTCCCTCTTAAACTGAGACCCGAACCCTCCGGCCGGCACTCCGGCCCCACCCCCCACCCCTCCGCCACTTCGCTCCGCCTGAACGGCGTAGAGGTTCCGATACGGCACATTCGACGCCAAGCTCTTCATGATCTGCGCCGCGTTTGAGCACGAACGCCCGCTACAGCGGCCGCACGGACGATTCGGTGGGGCGCCCGTCGCATGGTTCACCACGAAATGGTGGTCTTACAGTGCCTTTCCAGTGTGCTCAGATTACAGTCATGCATCCTGTCATCCAGTTGCCAACCAATGTGAGAAACCGGGTTCTTTGACAAAAAAAATGGGGCCTACACCCACCGATGAATGATGGGACGGTCTAAATCGGTCGATGCTGCGATTGGCACAGAGCACCCATCGGTCGAGCGCCTGCAATCCGATGTAGTAACTCCAACTCCATTCCTTGCGAAGTGGCCAAGTGTCCAAGTGGAGCGGGAAAAGAATGGAAAAAGCGTCGAATATCTTCAAATCCCGTCACAGAACATGAACGGAAGTTTAAAAAATACCACTGGAGGAGCCCAGAAAACTTACTCGCTCTGAGGTGCTGGAAAATGCCGCCGGAGACGGCCACAAAGAAGACCCTTACAACAGCCAAAGGCCAGGTGGATTGGTAAGCAAAGCCATCCTTGGAGTTGCTGATGAGGGACCTGAAAGAAAAACATCATCTGAAGCTACTGGTCTTTTTGTATGACTCCCAACAAAACACTTATCAGGAGGCAAATGTCCTTTCAGCATCAATGACTTCAGGAAACATGCTTCCTTCCATACTGATCCCAAAATAAGAATCAGAAATCATACTTGAGGATTGTTGCAACCTTTTCTATCGGCAAGTAGCCTTTGGGGGAAACACAACAAGTGCTTTAGCGGCAATACCAGGTATCCACAGGTGCAGCCCGCCGAACAGGCTGATAGCTCAAAGCCTTGCCAGCTGATGGGGCGTCAGTGGTTAGATCCACAGAGAATTACAATCATTGATTGATATTGATATCATTGATAAGATCTTGCTCCTATACTGGAGCCCCTCTCCTGCAGTTGCTTCCACTCATTTGCTTTTCTAGTTCAACCAACAAGGAGGCAACATCTGATTCGAACACAAGCTGATCAAAGTAATGTACGTGGATGACCCCTGGTGCATGGCTGGCCAAAATGTTGTTCAAATTCTATATACATTCTCAGCAGGACTCGGATATACTCGGATGATTCCAAGAAAAGGGATGATGGCTGCAGGGTTCCTCCAGCAAATTCCTGCCTCTGCATTATCAACTCCCCAGTGTGTCACAGGGCAGTTGGGACCCAGGGATGCTCATGTTAATGTAGTGACCTGATCTTACACATGTCGGTCATGTCAGTCACCTCTGTTTGTAGCAACGGCAAGGACACCCTCTAAGAAGGGCTATCACACTGCTTCACATCAGCCACATTGGACTATGAGCTAAAGTTGAAACATGTTGAAACTGAAACCAGCCAGCTCTTTTCCTTTCTGAAACACTGCCATCCTTCCAATCTACCAACCCGGTCGGCCTTCTTGAAAGGCAGGTCTACAATTGGGACAGGCCTTGGACCAGCACGTCTCTTCGGAAGATTCCACCTTGCTCTGGCGAAACTGGTCGCAGTTGTCTTGGAAGGGGAGACGATGCAGCAGGGCTGAAGAAATTGTGGACATCGACAGCAACCAAGTGTCCACAGACGACCTCACACAGTGGATCCACTTTAAGTGGTCTGCTGTATGTAGCTTGTAAAACTCCCATCTGAGAAGAGTTTTCCCATCTGATGCAGCGTCCAACTTCCCAGCTGGCCTCTCTTATCCTTCCAACCTGGCCAGTCAATGAGGTGAGTTAAGTGAATCCCTTTGATCCGGGCGGCATGACGAGTCAAGCCAAGGATTGAACCAAGTGAAACAAATCCTGTTTCGGCGCAAGGAAAGATATGATATACTGTAACCAAATCCTAGATCGACGGATTGGGTCCAAATAAAAGCCCCTCCACAAAAGGAACACTGGTGCTTTTGGTCCGAGATGCTATGACAGGTTCCCTTAACGGGTTTCCAGTGTTGACCACCCTCCCTTGCTTCTCCCATGACCTTCTATCAGTGGACAAAAACTGGTTCGTAGAGGAAAATGAAAGGTCTTCAAACCCACTGGCACTGGCTTGTGGGTCTTCCAGCCTCACTTGGATCCTCTCGGATTCCATTTTGACTTTACAGCAGCATGTAGCCGCTTGAGGTTCTGCTGCTTACAGTTCTGGAAGTCGAACACCCAAGACTTTCATTGAACCTGCAGAGTTTAAACACTTGAGACTTATATATACTTACGTAGGTATTCTTGTAATTATAGTAGTGCTCTAGTCCATCCTAGTCCTACAATGCCATGCGCCTGCTTACAGTTGGTTTTACTTTATTAGACACTTTTCGCCCTGGAGCTTCCTTCGCCTCTCCTCCCCTGACGCCTCTACATCGATGGATTCTTGTGCAGGGGCGCGGAGTGCGACCCGGTCAGGGAGACGATCCTGGACGATGCGATCGATCCGCTCGAAGCTCCGCACCAATGTTACTGCCCTAGGATCCAGGGTGATCTGACACTAGGGTTTTGGTCTTGAGGACCATTGGTTGCCTCATTCCTCGTGGTTCAATAATGATCAAAGAGTTGAAGATAAAGAAACTTATATTGAGGTCATTTGTTTCAACTTGCTACGAATAACATCGACGTGAACAAAAAGCCAGGTCATAAGTAGTCCTTAGTAAAGACTCTTCAGAATTGACTCTCAAGGTGGTCTTTAGCAGCAATTCTGCGGTCTGTCTCAGCCCCGATTCACCCCCTCTTCCCTCCAGCTCCACCAGCTTCGCCTCCACTGCAGACATCTCGATGTCTCGCTGCATCGCACAATTTCTTGGAATGAGATGAGTCCTGCTTGATGGCCTAGGCCGCCTGGGCTTTGCTTCAAATCTGTGGCATGTGTGACTGTAGACTGTGCCACTGTGAAACACCACTCTGCAAGCGATTGGTTGAGTGACTCTGGAAGCATGATTACGTACAGTACCTATTTTGCAGTTCAGTCTGTTTGTTGATCTGTTGCTCAGCGGCAGTAAGCCTCATGAGAAGGAAAGGGTGGCTGCAAAGCTCAGCGCAATCTTAAAAAAAAAAAAAACAGCCATTGTGCACATCTGGCCTTCAGGATCCCACCAACTTCGGCAGGTTGAGCTATAGATGTGGACCAAGAGCATTTAGCTTGTGTTGAACCACAAACATTTGGTTTGCTCATGTGGGACGGCGCACGACCCGAAGAGATGACCGCCAAACTGAGCCAAGAGGTGGAAGGGGGGGTCCGAGGTCATCGCACCTCCACTAGTCCCTGGCTGTTCTGTTCCACCAGTGGTCTCTTGAAATGTCACCAGTTGTCACAACGAGGTTCTCTTACTTCCTGCTTCTTGAAGAGGTGGGATCCTCCGAACAAAGAGGGTCAACTGACCAGGTCAACCCTCTCATTTAGCTCGTTGCGAGGCAAGTGCGACAGTTTTGAGCCGTGTCGACAACCCAAAATCACAACTCCACAAAGAAGTTGATGATGTGCACCCAACCTCCAACCTTACGGAGATCATCCTTACTGAGATCCCCTTCGAAGACAATCTCTGGTCGATCCACCGGGTCCGCCCATTCCGAACTCGGCGCTCCGGAGCGACATGTCGATCCTTTGTGGTGGCTTTCGCCCGACGTGTTAGTGGCTCTTGGCTCGGAGTGGATGTCCAGGTTCAAAAGGGCGGGATGACTGTGGGCGGAGCCGACGCGATCATCGAAACGCGAAAAAGAAGAAGGGTTGGGCGGGATGACTTCCCCCTAAGACTTGGTCGCTGGGAGATGTCCCATGCGTGCCAGATACTGTTGGATGACATGCAAAAAGTGTACGGGTAGCGTGATGCTGGATTGTAAGCATCGTGTGAGGCTGCAAAGCAAGAATAGTACTAACATGAACGTAGCAAAGCCCTTGCAACCAGTGAGCATGCTCAGTGATTAGCTTCCCTGCTTCCTGGGCGAATAGGCCGACTAGGGCCAGGGGGCCATAATCATCAACATGGGATACTGAGAGTAGGAAGGTCTGTCATTTGTTCAACAACGTGGCAGATCGGCTAGACATGGTTTCCTGCTGAAATGAGTTTCCTGTTCTGCTATCTCAGCTGGCATGTTTCTTGACTCACAGTGGTTAGGCAACGTTGTGTAGTTGAATGATTGCTTGGTTCTAGGAAGGCTGCACATATTGTCTACTCTCCCCTGCACAAGCTTTCCCACAGCAACAAAAGACATCCTGGAGCCACTCCTGGAAAATGTGAGCCAAACTTAAAGTTCTCCAAGTTGGTCTTCCTGTCTCAATGCTGGTCTTCCAGCAAGGAAATCAAGAGACGCAGACCAATTGCGCCAGTATTGAGAAAAGCCTTATCTTCAAAAAATTGGCCCGAGCCAGTCTTCTCCTCATCTTAGAGAGAGAGAAGGCCGGTCTTCTCCTCATCTTGGAGAGGGAGAAAGAATCCTTGTCTCAAGCAGAACTTGCAGTAGATTGACTGCCCGAGGGATCATGAGATGTTGCTTAAAGCAATTGAGTTTTTTTAATGGAGTCCGTAGCCAAAAACAGCATTCCTCTTCAAGATGCCTTCGTACCCAATCCCTACCCTCTGAGTTCTTGTCTTGACATGACGCTCAGAGCTGAGATCGAGTTTGTTCTCAAGGAAGAAGGAGTTGATCTTCATGTGGCAAACGCCCCAGGAAATCCACCTTTCCGGTCGCTTTGTGGAAGATGGCACCTGTCCGTTGCTGTCAAATGGCTCCAAGTGGACCTAGAGATTTCTCTTTCAAAGTTTAGACTGGACTGCAATGGTGGTTAACAACTACAACTACCACAACAAGAACAAGTCCCTGCACAAATAACACCTAGAAAATGAACCATGCAACTAGCTGTGTATAGTTTATCTACCCGACAAACCTGACCGTAGATGTCAAGGATTACAGTCATCATTTATTCGATTGACTGGCGATGGATGACTAGGAATGGAGAGCTAACACACATGCCAAATCGATTAGACCTGTCACCTGTCCATAAGATCTCTGCTATAATGCTACAACATGCTTAAAAGTATACTAAGTGAAGTGTGTCTCAAATCTGTGTGGTCAATCTGCCACGTACTCAGACTCATCGAGTTGATTGCCGAATGATCAGAAACTCCTGACCCGATATCTTGGAAGTGATCTTCCAAGCGAATCGAAGTGACCCACAGGCTGCAACAAATTTGTTGCAAGGACTTGTTTCTTGTCCAAATGAGTGAGTTCTGCGGAATCTGCCTTCTTTGGATTGCTTCCCTGTGCTCGGTAGTGCACCCATTCCCACCACAAACTAAATAGAACTCTCCTGGTCCGACCTATGAAATCGGGGCATGCACGCCTTGGATGTCCAGTTGCCGCTGGCGCACCAAGAGTTGCAAGAGTCGGCCTGGTGACCAAGGACGGTGGAGGAAAAAAGGCCGCCAGAGAGTTTCCATGTTAATGACCCATTGCATGGCTTGGAGAGAAATGCCATAAAAGGGTTGGGAAGCGGAGATGATGGGGCCTCTGTGGGGGTTTTGGATGAGGTGGCCATTCCATAGAAAGCAGTAGACCTGTTTATAGCCAATTTCGCCCGCCCTGGTAAAAGCATCCGGAGCTCACACACAGTGGTTGGACCCCGAAGGAGACAACACGAGGCGTTGACGTATCAAATCGGATCATCTTAGTTTCCCGATTCTATAATATGAATCCGCCGACCGGGGTGAGGCGTGACTGTTGATTGATAGCCTTAGCCTTATCCTTAGTCCTTAGCCTTGGCCTTACCTCCCCTACCCCTCCGGGCCCTTGTTGCAGTGACGAAATCTGCCGAAATATGCCAAGATTTCTCCAAGATTTCTCCAAGAGTTGTCCAAGATTTCTCCATCCCAATTGATTATATCTTGGGGCACCCTCTCAAACCGCGTGGGAAAATAAGCACGGTCCCTAAATGGTCCCGGGCTCGAATCCCGGGCTGGTCGCGGCCTGGTCCCTGCCAGTGCCTTTGATTTTTCTCAGATTTTGCAACGTTTTCCGTTGGATTTCTAGGATTTTCAAACGTTTTTGTAAGATTTACTCATTCCTTTCAGACCTTTTGCGAGGGTGTTTTCCAGCATGTCCTCTGGTTTCTCTAGGTACTTGTAAAGGCTCCGTGTTGTTTTTTGGGTTCCCAGATTTGCAATGAAAAATGCTAGCCCATTTTCCTCCATTTGCAAACGTTTTCCGCTGGATTTCTATGATTTTCGAAGGTTTTTCTAAGCTTTACTCATGCCTTTCATGCCTTTTGCGAGGGTTTTTCCAGGATTTTCTCTGGTTTTTCTAGATAGTTCTGTCGTTGTCTAGGGGCTCCGTGTTTTTTTTGCGTTCCCAGATGTTCAAAGAAAATGCTAACCCATTTGCCGTGCTCTCTTCTGCCTACTTTGGTGACGCAGTGACTAGGCCATCCACTTCCCTGGGGGTCGGCGGCTGCCAGGCGTTAGCCTGGTTAAATATATAAATATATGTATATATATATATATCACTTTTCCACCTGCTGAGACGAAGCTTCCCTGGCATGACATCAATCAACCCCCATCTTAGGAGAGGCGTCAGACATACAATCTGAAGAGCTCTTCCATGAAGTAGCGTAGCCACTCAACAACGCAGAAAGAACCACTGAGTAGTGGTCCACTGAATCTAAAGCAGCTTTGCAATCAACAAAGAATCACTCCAACTATCCAACGCTACCCCGTAAAGAATCACTCCAACTATCCAACGCTACCCCGTAAGGTCAAATGTCTGACGGATGACAGGCCAGGAAAACTTGGAAAGCTCAAAAATTTTTGCTTTGGCCAAAGGCTTGAGACTATGGATGAGCACAAAAGCACCCACCTCTTGGAGGTAGTATTCCAACGTATGCACACGCGACCAAAGACCGCGCCAGGCAACCCAGCTCACGTCCTCCGATGTGGTGTAGAGGTAGGTTGCTCCGGAGCCCCGGAGAACTCCAGGTGTTGCGCCTTGTTGAAGCTGTGAATGTGGCACACCAAGAGATTGCATGATTGAGTTCCATTGTTTGCGGAAAGTATTGATAGATCCAGTGATCCAGGAAACAGTTTGTTGTCCGCTTCTAATGAACCAAAAACTCTCTGCGCTACCTCAATGATCACAGGGTCGTCAATGCGACCGTGTTGTCTGCGAGCAAATCGAGCTGTCTTTGGTTCGAGAATCTTTATAAACAGACTTGCACTATCAAAACAAACGTCAGATGGAAAAATCAAATCTCTCCGCTGAGGCGCCATTATTTCAGAAGGATGCAGCATGGCATCAAAGCCTAAAAGGACTATTGCAGCCAACCTGGCCATTGCCACAGCAAAGCCAAGGTGATTGAAGCTCTGATGACGACCGGTGGAAGTACCGGTCGGCACGTCCCTGGCTCGTGAATCTGCCACTTTTTGTCAATCTGCCAAGCTAATGACATAAACTGCCTACATAGTGGATACAGTTCCTGAATCCCGGTAAGTGCGTAGACGAAAAGATATCTTGGCAAGCCAGCTTCAAAACAGTATAAACCATACCCACGTAACGCCAGACAGGTTGCATGAGGATCTTTGACAAGGCTTGACCAAGTCAGCTGAGCTTCTTCTTCAACCCAAGCTTGGAATCCATCAACACAGCGCTTCATCCTATCTACAGTCACAGCAGCAAAGCCAGTGGTCAAGTCCAGAGGGCCTCGAGGAACTCGGTCTCCTCTCGGTCCAGGATTGCGTTCAATGTCACCTCCAAGCAGCAGCAAAAATCTTAACCATCGGCCGCAAAGCTTTGGGACGCGGCTGGATTCAACAACCAAGTCAAAAAGGCTGCTGTCCCCACCCTGCAATCTGCAGAGCCACTCAGGCAACTCTTTGGTTGGGGCTTGAACTGGACGATCCCTCGATGGATCATCTGCACGGTTGTCGGCACTATAGCAGTGCAAACACCCAGGAAACAAGCCTCCTCCAATGATGTAGGGTAGCGTGCCCTGAAGCACTCGGCTGATGGCAAAACCGCTAGATCTGCCCTTAGCAGGGCACCGATGGTTACCCGGCTATCCAAAAACCCAACAAATCTGGTATCAGGACTACTCTTAGCCATAGATTTGATCCAGGATTTACAGGTTCGGGTCTCATTAACATTGATGTGACCAGGTGATTTAAATTTGAATCGGAACAGCTCTCGAAATTCACATGAGTTCATGACTTCACTGATCCACTCTGGTTCTTCAAACCATTCTCGAGGTTTTGCAGGCTCTGCGGGCAAAAAAAAGTGGGCATAATTATCCACCGGTTCATCCACCTCAGCAAAACTGCGCGCTCGAACTTCGCTGGGAATGATTTCAACGCACCCGTTTTTGGCTGCCAAGGAACCCAAAGCCATACCTCGGACCAGAGGCAGTGGATAGGCGGCCGAGTACGCAGCCACAGATTGACCCACCTCTGGCGGCTCAGTATACACAGCGGTTGCGGATGGTTGGCAGCGTTCTTCGAAAGCTAAGATGCCTTCAAGAGTGAATAACCCCTCAGTTTTGAAATGTCCACCTTTATGCCTGCAAGTGCATTTAGATTCTAGGTTTATCAGCCAGGGTTTGTTGCGCAGCCACTTTGATGGCTTGTGGAAAGCACTTCCAAAGCTGCAAAACGAAAAATGAGATATCACACAACCGAGGCGCAGCAATTGTCGATAGCAGTGCAGAAGAAACAATCGGCTGTCGCGCGGCTGCTCCACACTGATATAAGACCCTGAAAACACTGCAATCATGAGAATGAAGCAAGTACGTTGCGCTAACTTGTTGTGATATTTGGTGAATGGGTCTTCTGGGTTGAACCCGTACGGAAACTCATTTGAACTCACCTGAGGTCGGCGGAAAGTGCCATAACTCACACAAGGCACTCCAGCGTGCCACTGGCGAACAACTCCTCTGCATGCCAGGCTGATTAGCTCGCGAACGACGGCATCAGCTTGCAGGGCAGAACAACGCAGACGACGGCCATCAAAATCGACGCCGTCATGGCACTGCAAACCTACTTCACTGTGTGCAGTGGACCAGTTTCCGCTACCTCGAAAAATTTCACAACAGTCAAAAACAAATCCTTCAGCGAGCGGCGGTGGGATATTAAAAGAAGTGGGAACACAGCTGGATGAAGGCTTAATGGGTTCTGAAACAAAAGCTTGGGAGCCAAGTTCTTCACGTTGCTCAGTGTGCCGCCCAAATTCTTTAGACGCATGACCGCCCAGATAAGCATAGCAAACTGCCCCGCCGGCTGGCGAAGCGTCAGTGCAGTACACCTTTGGATCATGTCTTGCTCGCGTGTCGCTCTGAGCCATACAGCCCAAGGATGCCAACAGTTGGAGCTCACACAAAGTTTGTCGCCTCAGGCAAAACACTTCATCTTGTGATCTACCCTTCCCCTCGTTGAAGACACTGCTCATGATGGCAAAAAGGGGTCGCCTAAAAAGCAAAACGTGGATCCAACAACCCACCACCATAGAAAGTAGCCGATTGGTGCAAGTACCTTTGTGAACAATTGCCATGGACACCAGGGACAGCAACGCAATACGGCTTCGAGGAGCCATGACCCGACCAGCTAAACCGTCGAAATCAGCACCGAGGATAATTCCAGAGGTCTCATCCCTACGTTGCTTCTTTTCCTGTTGGATCAAGCCGACTTTCTTGTAAGCCAAAGAAGCCTTCGCAAACACTTCCGTATCCCTGAGAGGGGGTTTTTCACGGATCTGGGAAATAGGCAACTTTTGAATCCCTACATGGTCATCGATGGCAAGGAGCTCGACAAAATCTGTCCTAGGGACAGCAACTCGATATCTCAACGTCTCATCACTCCTAAGAGCACCACAAAGAAACTTTAAAACATTCGACTGAGCTTGTTGGGCAATCTCCACAGCCATGTTGTCTCCCATTGCAAGGGTTTTAAGACAGGTGAGAAGATCTTGACCCTCAAAGGAAGGATGGTAACATTTGAAATGTTTGACTTCCGAAGACTTAAAAACCACACGCAATGCATTCCGTTTGGCTCGGGCGGCTGAAACAACAAACGTGTAGTAGTAATCGGTCAAATCATCAGCTGAGAACCTAAAAGCTTGGTGATCTTCAAGATGAAGCAGACCTAACATACACCCCGGGGCAAGCTCTTCAGTGGACTTGGTGATGGTGTGCGTGCGACTGTTAATGGTGACAGGATTAATGATGAGCCTGTCGAAATCCTCGTCTTTAGGCACGCAGAACAATCCTACCGCTTCATCAAAATCCTTTTCACTAGCTGGCAACAGCATACGAGCACCAAGTTCATCCCATCTGGCTGCTACATCTAAAAGTTCAACCCTGGGACACCGGACCCTGGCTGGATGCATGGGCGGCCATTCACTACGGTCTTTACGAAGAGTTTCAGGTTCAACGTACGTTGACTTTACAACTGGGTCTGACAGGAAATCTTCGGCGTGGAAGCTGGGCAGGTTTTTCCACTTCACACGGCTGGAGATCACTGGCAGCGATCCTGTACCACCGGGCAGCGGCGCGTTCGGCTGAGCAAAGGGCTCACGGCAATGCGACTCGGGCTGAACATCACTCTCTGGTTTGAAGGCAAAATGCTTACCGTACGGATCTAAGTCACTGTGAATGCATGATGCTAATTGATGAAGGTCCTCAATCCTCAGCTTACACCGAGGCAGTTTCTGTGAATGCAAAATTAAATCCGAAAATTTCCCCTGAGCACGGCCCAAATCGGATCCTTCAAACTTCGGCGTGTGAAGGAAATGGTCCAACATAGCTTCAACTCGTTCTAGAATCGAATGCTGGTTGGGATGGACTGGTGCGCCTAGTTGTGCACAAAGGGGTGGACTCGACTTATAGCCTAACACTTGCCAGTTCATGGAACAAATGACAACCTGAAGCAATTTATGTCGAGTCTCAAAGTAGCGCAATCTACGACGCCTGCGCGGATTCAGATTTCGTGCAGCTGTCCAACTCCACCTGGGGGGGGACAGGCCATAAAGCCCGGCTGGGCTTTTTCCATGGTGCAGGCATGGTCGGCTAGCTTAAGACTCTGCCGAATGAATGAGCCTAGAGCAGTGGGCGCAGAAACGGCGCTCTTGCAAAAAGAATGCATCAAATTAACACCTGAAAATACTTGTTTGGATCTAGGGTCAGGAACATCATGATCTATGTTGAAACTAGATAACTCGTCAACTAAATCCAAGGCACCCGGGTCATCACACGACTTCAAACTCTGTGCTGGCAGTTCGAAGGGCTGCTCGACATGAGCGACTCCTGGAGCTAAACTGATGCTGCTGCGGTCCCTTCTGCATTGGACCCCTTCCCCTGACCCTTTGGCTTCTTGGGCTTGTTCTTTGGCTGAGTCGTTGGTACCTGATCTGCATCGCCGGTCTTGACCTTGTTGGTCTTCTGCAACCCCAAAGTTGACAATCTGCTTTCTAGATAGTCCATATCTTTGAGGTAAGCGATGTTGGCTGACACCCAAGCCGGGTGGCATAACCGTGCATACGGCTGAAGACAGGGCATTCTCTTGGAACTTGTCAGAAGATGGAAGGGCGGCTCTTGCCACCCTGTAAGGAGCCAACCCATCTGAGGCCGACCGCCGTCTATGGCGCATTGTTCTACAAAATAGAGCATCCGGGACAGAACCTCCAGCGTCTCCACGTTCCCAGTTTCGAACCCGATTGCCCAACTCTCGGCAATCATGGCAGTGAAATAGGTCAGCAGGCGATGGTCGGCAAGCACCATCCTTCTTTCCATGTACTTGCGAATCAATGATCCATCTTCTTTCTGAGGATCCATCCCCAGTTCTCTCAAGGCATTCATTCGAGTTGCATTTGCCACGGCTGGCAACTTGGCTACCGATTGCAGGAAAGCTTCGCGAGCCAGACAGCCTTGCACACCTGTTGATGAACTGCCTGATGCGCTGTCCGCGCCTCCTGAGCTTAGGATGTCCAGAACTGGGTCTGAAACTTTCTGTCCTACCAACTTCTGCAGCAAAGCTTGGTTTTGTTGCATCTGAAAAGCTAGCAACCGGTGGACCGGATCTCCATTCTGACCCAAAACGTCGACTGGATCTGGCATGGTCGGCTCTTGCTCCGTGGCTTCTCGTTCCAAGTCCAACAGAGTATGATCTTGAGGAACTGGGAGATTCTGCAGTGACTGCTGCCGACGTCTCTCCGCAGTCCCCACCCTGGGCGGTGGAGTCCCCGCCAGCATTTGCAATCGTCCCCACTCCTGACCTGTGCTGAAATGGCCCCGCCTCCGGCATCTCGGTTGAACAACGGTGGCGCCTTGGGGGTGGGAGCGACTTGAAGCAATCCTGGAACCTGTTGAGGCTGCCGCTGCAGCAGCAAAGCCGCTTCGAGCTCTGCAACCCGGGCTTGGAGCTTCTGGTGAGTCTCGTGGGAGACCCCTGGAGCTTGACCCTCGGCTATGGATGATCCTGGTTCTGGTTCTCCAGGATCTGCACATTCTTCTCCTGTCACATATTCTTGGGCTGTATCTGGATCCATGCTTTCTATCCATATGTTGGCTAGCTCGTGCACTGATGGCTTTGACCGGTCTTACCTCTGTGGCTTCTAGGCTGAATGACAAAATCTTGGTTCGCTGAGCGGCAGTAATGCGACCCAGAGAAACAAAATGTTGCACGTAATCCCAACTGAGGTCTGCCAGCTGAACAACTGCTTCCCCTACTCGACGGCCCCGGGTAGTCTCGACCGCCACCTGTCCAGCATGGAGCAAGGGAGTTGGATAGCCATGTTCTAAACTGAGATTGTCCAAACATTGGTTGATCACTTCGTCTGGAGGGAAAACCACCATAAAGCCGCCAGCCCGTACACAAACCAGAAAGCCGCAAATCAAATTCACCCCATCTGCCAGCTCCTCTGCCAAAACCAAGAACCTTGAAGAGAGAGCTCTGGCAGCTGCGGCAGCTTCCACTGCCTGCCTCACCGACTCCTCGGTGAGGGCCGCTCCTACAGCGGCGGCGGCCATCTTCGCTGAGCCGTGGCGAGGTAGCACTCTGCCTCCCGCGTGACTGACGCTGTCTGTGTGGAAACTGCCGTCAAGCAGTTTCGCACCCTGCACGTAGGCAGTGCAGGATGAAGCCCAACAAGACTCACTAGTCGATCCACCTGAACGCAATGAAGACGGTGTTCTTGGAAGGTGCCAACTCTTGCTGGAGAATCTGGAGCAGCTAAAACCCCTGGATGTTGTGCTGCACGTGCAATGTCGAGCAGCCCAGAGGAAATCTCAAGCCACGCCAGAAAGGCCGGTGAACCCTCAGGGACGACGCCAGAGGACGCGTGTCGGTATCAACTGCCCTGCCTATACTGCGCAAGCCTGCCCCTTCTGTCAGTCTCTGGAACCAGCAAATGGTGAGAAATCACAGCAGCTGCCACCACACGCAGGAGGCTAAGCACAGCCCGACGACACGACACCGAGAAGACTAGAGCGCCCAGAATGAAGCCAGCAATGAGGGACCAAATGCAGGCGAGGATGAAGCACAGGCCTATGGCTCCCCAAGGGCAAGAAACCGGTGAACTGGTGAAATACCGGACTTCCCTGAGGAAATCGGGCAACCACCAAGGCACCATAAACTCTCGATCCCAAAAAGCTGCTTGAGCGAGTCGACTCAATACTGTTCACAAGTGATAGGAAGCATACCCCAAATAGATAGAAAAGTAGAATCCCTTTCAATATGTAAACCGTGTCTATCTATTTGGGGACCACTATTATGTATATATACACCGTATACCCGCTTCATCTCACTTCACTGTGCTTTTTCACACCACGAATTGAAACATACCATTTGTCGGTGCCAACCTTGGGTAAGAGCCCACTAGTCACTAGGGACCCGGTTCTGAGACCAAGGGGTGAAGCCACTAGTCACTTCTGAGGAGCCCTTTCTCGTGAGCTCCGTCCATTCTCGCACGCGTAAATCCGTTTCAGTGACACGAACCGAATAAATATCCAAGGATCTTTGTGAAAGAATCGTCTCCATGGTGTGGAAGACGTTCAACTTCCTGAGACGCCCGCAAGATTTTTGCGGTGTGGAAGTTGTCAACATGTTCGCCTCATTCCTAACCGTCCTAACCGTCCTATCAAAAGGTTGCTTCGTCTCCACACTTCTCATCACATCTCTTGCATTCGCCCTCACTGCTACGGGTGTTTTCAGCATGGCCAAATCACAGCGTCGCACCTGCGGCCGAGTCACGCTGCTCTCCTGACCAATTGAGAATTGCTGGCACCTCCCAAGTCTCCGCTTCGTGGCTGCGTCGCGGTCACAGAGTCGATCCGCTGAGCATTGAAATATATCTACTGTGCATGATAGTCTCCAAGACGGTCATCTTTGCCATCAAAGCTGGCGTGTGGAATGATCCTAGGCCCTATTGCATCCTTATTGCTCCAGCCGTGTATGGTAGTTGGAGCTATGGCTGACTCCAAATTATCATGTTGTTAATCAATTAATTGGACCCCATGAAATCTTGCATGACCACAAGAAACTTAAAATAAAGACCAGTCAAAGGTCAAGTTCTGTTGATTGAAGCTACCGTAGCAAAACTATAGGCATCATCATTGTTTCAATGCGTGAGTATAACGGGCATCACCCTGACCCAGGAGAACCCTCCCAAAGCCTACTAGGGTTTGCTTGAGCTCTTGGGTTTGGAGTCTATGTTTTGAGTACCCGCCCATGTTTTTTCACAGCAAGTTCCACCTGTGCGTGTCCGGTGCAGTCCCGCCTTCTCCCAATTGCTGCTCCGCTTGTGCGGCAGCAGCCACCAAACTCTCCAGGAGCACTGGCGATGGGCGATCCTCGTCGTCCCGGTGCGCCTGGGAGCGACTCCAACACATAGAAGGGGAAAGCACTAAGAGTCGTAAAGGAACGTACAGGAAAATGAAGAGTCATCCAAGGGTCGATATTCTACCTCCATGTGACTGAGTTGGAGGGTAAACCCTTGAAAGTACCGGGAAGGGACTCATGATGTCCAAATCCACAAGGTTTGAGGATTTGTCCTTGCAACCTCTGGAGAAAGATCGATCGTAGTTTCATAGCAATCGCTTCAGACTATGCCCTCCGGACCAGCATGCTTTAAGACCTCCAAACAAGTGATGAAGCTCCTGAAGGTTAAAGCATGTTTTTGACACATCATCCTCTCGTTGCATGAACATCGCTTTCGGGATTGTCTAGTCTACATGATTATATACTTGCCCAGCAGTTTCAGCATGTTTCAACACTGACAGCTGGCAACATCTTGCGACCTTTCATTTCTAGGTGAGAGAGCGACAAGGCCTGATACTTTCATGTATAATTATAGTTATAGTTTTAGTTCATTGCTTTGTTTACTTTCATGAAGAATTCATCATCGGTAGGCGGAATGTAAGGCCCCCATAGTGACCTTGGAACTCAACATGTCTCTTTCGCCGTTGCTCTCCGTGGTCTCACCCGATTGCCGTGGAACTTCCACAGCACCTGCCAGCGCAGCGCAAGGCCTGGGGCAGACCGACCATCCGTTTCACAGACCGACCTCGTCTGTCTGGATGAAGATTCATGTTTCATCTCAGTCTGAAGGGGTGGAACAACTGTTCAGGTGAAACAATGGCATTTCGCCGGAAAGAATCTGGAACATCTCCCCCTTTGGGCTTCCGTGTGAAGCCGAAACCACATGCTTTTGCAGCGGCTGGGCACCAAGTTTCTGAGATCAAATTTATGGTGTATGCAGTAATTGGTTGTCTGATTTCTCATTGAAACCGGACTAATATCAAGGGCTTCACTTGGCCTCTTCACAAGCATGCTTAGGCTATCCAATGGCTTAAGACAGTTGATGGCAATCCGCGCGCATTGCTAAGAGGGTTACCCACTTGTTCACAGCAAATCTCTAGAGGCAATCTGTTTGAGGGTACCAAGCATTTGAGGTTCAGCTATGAGCAAGTCTCTACGGGCCTTCATCTGACGATTGCATGATCGAATGAATTTCACCTGATAATGTTTGAACGAATCACTCATAAAATCATCCAACAAGCAAAGGCAGCCAAGCTCGCTATCAAGGCGCGTGTGCCCAAGGATGAGGATGAGCGGAACATTGAACTTCTCCACTGAAAACTCGAAGGAGCCCATGATGCTCCCAGCCGAGTGGGTACAGGTGTTTCCAGCCTCAGCCAAAATCGACCGTCTTGAACGGACTTAAGTGGGTCAGCGAAACAAAGAAAAACCGACCGTGTATAACGTGGATAGGTGTTTACCCATGCCGGGCTTTTGAGATGTCATTTGCCTTCCAAGAACATGTCCGATGGTGTCCGCGCAAAAAGAAATAGACGCCTTGTTCCCACACAAACGCATCGTCCCCACGGCATGCCGTGGACAGTTGAGGGTTGGCGATCCACACAGTGTCAAGGTAAATCTATATATGTTCTACAGGATAGTGTTTCAAGATGAAAGTACCCGTGTCCCGTGTCTAAAGGTTTGGTATCTTTGGTCTCAATGTTGGATCCATTTCTCTGAAAACACTCACAGTATATTACGTGGATCAGAATCATACTCCTATGCCTATATATGAGCTAGCCTCCCCTCAGCCCTACATCTTGAAGCTTTGATTCAATTACAGTACATTATAGGAAATAATCTTGCTCAAGAACAGGTGAATCGCCTGTCCGGGATGATTTGGACACCTTTGCATCCCAAACAAAAACAACCCAAATGCCCCGACAAGCCAAGGAGTTGTTTGGGGAGTCTAACATGTTACACTGTAGGTCGAGGGTAAATTAACTTGCAGCCATCGAGTAGGTATTCTCAAACAGCGCGTAACCTGAACCTTCCATAGCCATAGCTTCACTGTAGACGTGAAGTCCTCTTCACCCAGTGCCATATCCACGATTTCCAGGCTTTTCGAATGACTTCATGGTGGCCTCAATCCTGATCCTTCCCCCTATGAGTACCTGTCTTGCAGGCCTCCCAAACCACCACGGGAACCAAACTATCATGGTGGATGTCTGCACGTGGCTACTGACCAAATCCACAACCCACAACCACAACCCACTGGGAAGCGTCCAAACTTCAACTAGTCACTGAAAGGGTCTCCTTAATATCCACCGGTCCGCCCAAAAGCGAAAGCGTTTGTACCACTCTGAGTGGCATTTCTCATCACAAAGATCTCTCCAGGCTCCACATCGAAGATCACATCCACTGGCGCCCCCATATCCCCGCAAGCCAGCACGGCACCGATGGGCACGGCACAGCGTTGCATGGCCTGCGAGCTCGTGAGAAGTAGAAGAACGAGCAAAGAGAACAAGTCTGAAATGAACCCGTGAGTATTTTATTTGGAATCATGCACAGTAAGTACATCCTGAAAAACGTGAAGTAACCAGAAAACGTGATTCCTTGAGATCTCCTCGTTTTTGTTGGATTCTTCGGATGAATGGCTCAAGGCTCAAGGGATGAATGACTGCAGGGGGCATATCGATGCCGGGCAGTTGAGCAAGTTCTTAGTATGCATTTGGATGTAGGGGAAAGTTCATGCATGAAATCGGTTGACCAAGAGCACAAGGGGATCAATCAGTTATATAATTCAGAGCCAGGATTTCTGTGAGTGTTCAACCGAACGCATGCGAATGTGTTCGGTCATCCCATCAAGCATCGTGTGGATCATGTGAATCCATAGTGAGCATAAGTGTTTTGTGTGAAGAAGCTACGAACGTAGCTCCTGGCATTACTAGGAACAAGAAGCTACCCGGGGCTCCTGGCATCGCTAGTAGGAGCAATGACGCTACTAGGGGCTCCCGGCCTTACTACTAGCAACAAGAAGCTACTAGGGGCTCCTGGCATCGCTAGTAGGAGCAAGAAGCTAGTAGGCGGGAGGCCATCGCTGCTGTGCTCAAAAGATTGTTTTGTCTGCTGTACTCACAACTGTCTTAAGCTCTTGCGAGCGGTTCTCACGATGCCAACACAAGGTTCAGCTGACATGTCTTGCAGTATACAGTACCGTACGCCGGAGACATAAAGCTCACTAACTCACCGCTACATACCGCTTGTTGACCGAGAACTCTGTTGTTCATGGGTCATGCAACTGTCTTTCCTTTATTGAGCATGAGCCCTGTTTTGCGGCCATGCCTTGTTCCAGGTTGCGCCACCCTGAGTTGCAGATCTGCAACATGTAGCACCAACATCCACCGGCACCCATTGTCCAGTTCATGCGAGCAGAACCGTGAAATTCATGTTGGTGAAAAAGATGCAAACGAACATATATATATATACATATACTCTGCATGTCTGCATGCCTCTATTTTCATGACGCCCAAAGACATTTCATGAGGTTTCTTCATAGTTTGACAATCTCTCGTGACACATGGCCTTCTAGGAAAGGGTTGAAAGGGTCACCGTGACCTGCGGCAACCGCTTTCCAAACATCGGAAGCTCGTGCGGCACCGGTGCCGAGCTCGGCTCAGCATGGTGACAGCGATGAAAACCACCACGACTGACCAGCCAACTTCGGACTAAAACTACGGAGAACATGAATCACTCTGAATCCCAAACACCTCACCATCTCACGAATCACATCGATGGCAACGCCAGGTCACCAGGAAGCGTTGGTTGCCTTCCCGCAGCTTGGCCAACGACCTCTGGGATGAGGCCCGTGGTGCGGAGCTGTCGCGGTCGATGGAGTCCACGGAGAGGCCGCTGAACCCGCTGCGAGAGAGGTCGGGCCTTGGCTCTGGGCTCTGAAGGCGACAGAAAATTGGGGACAAATGAGAAAAGGGCCAAGGGCCCCGTGCCAAGGAGACCGCCTTTTTGGCAGAAATCTGAATTCCGTGTCAGAGTCGGCTGCCAGATGCTGCAAGCACATTGGTGTTTTTGGATGACAATGGCCAGGATTGGGCCAGCTAGTCATGTCACCCTGAGGTTGACACCAGGTTAGACCTCAAAACGACGATCAGATGGTCCACCGCAAAACTTTCACGGTTGTTTGACCCACACTCATTTTGAGCATTTGTTCGTTGGAGTCCTGAGATGAGATATCCATACCTCCCAAACTGCACAAGAAGCCACTGACCTAGACGAGAGTTTCAGAGTTGCCCCTCATGTGCCACATCTACACCCACTTGCTCCTAGTGGGCACTCAAAATGATCAAAGTATGTTTCTTATTATTACTCTTCACCTTCAGCATCTCCCGCAATCTTCCGCATCTCTGTCTTCTTCACGAATCACCTCTACCTACCCAGCACGCAGATTCTTCCCATCCCGCTCACACTGAAACTGAATAGCAAATCCATGGAACACCGACACCGACACGGTGGTCCAGGACACTCCCAGGAGTCGTACTCGTCGGCCAAGAGCTCTGCTTGCTTCTTGGAGCTTCCCAAGAACTCCACCTGGTCGCTATCAAATTACAAACACGCTCTAGGTGTACATAGCCTATGCTACGTATTGCTACATCATACTACATCCTGCTACGGTAGTAACATGTAGTAACAGTAACAGATTTCTCTGAAGGTCATGTTCGGCAAACACATTAGCAAATCAGGAAAATAGAAAGAAACCAGTGCAATGGATTGCAATTGCAATCGTTCCGTTTTCCAAGGTGGTGTGCAAACATGGCTCTGATGTATCGTCCCCTCTTAGTTGGATTCCAAGGAAGCAGGCTTATCGACGCAGTATTTGGGCAGTGAGGGGAACGCTTTGGTCAAGAGGATTGAGGTCAACAAGGCCATTGTCCTCTCCAATGTTCTATCACTTGTCGGCGCTGTATCTAGAAAAACTGAAACACGCAAAACAAAGGTGGGTGGTATTTGGGCATCTGCATCCTGGTTTGCGGGACCATTTGCAGCTGTCAGGTCACCCATATTCATGTGGACTCTTTTTTGGCAAAAATAGAACCTGAGAATAGACCTCTCAAAGGATTCTGCCCTCGGAGTTTCCACTAAGTCGTATTTCATGTTCCATGTCAATCTCTTGGGTTGGAGGCCATCGCTTCTGGGTTGGAGGCCATCGCTGTTAAGGTTGGAGGCCATCGCTATTAGGTTGGAGGCCATCGCTATTAAGTTGGAGGACATCGCTGTTAGGTTGCAGGCCATCGCCCTTGCTATTAGGTTGGAGGCCATCGCTGTTAGGTTGGAGGCATAGCTATTAGGTTGGAGGCCATCGCTATTAGGTTGGAGGCCATAGCTATTAGGTTGGAGGCCATCGCTATTAGGTTGGAGGCCATCGCAATTAGGTTGGAGATGGTTGGAGGCCATCGCTGTTAGGTTGGAGGCCATCGATATTTGGTTGGAGGCCATCGCTATTTGGTTGGAGGTCATCGCTGTTAGGTTGGAGGCCATCGCTATTAGGTTGGAGGCCATAGCTATTAGGTTGGAGGCCATCGCTATTAGGTTGGAGGCAATCGCTCTTATTTTTACTATAAATATATATATATATTAGGTTGGAGGCCATCGCTTCTAGGTTGGAGGCCATCACTATTGGGTTGGAGGCCATTCCTAATTATTAGGTTCCATGTCAATCCGTGTCAATCTGTTGGGGTACAGTAAGCCAAACTACCTGTCTACTCACCTTCTCAGTTCGCCAAGCCAAGCTCCGACGGTTGCTTCTCAACAGTCCAAACACGGCTGATCGGCCTGCCGGCTCTCAGCATCGTAGACCGCGGCTTGAAGTTCCAGCTGGCCACTACGGACGTTCCTTGATTGAAACGTTGGTGGTCACATCACAAGGACCACAAGACACATGGACCTCTGAATTAGGTATCAAGAGATTGGTTGTATGGCTCCTGATAATTGATACTGTAATGAAAACTGAAAAGGCAAAACTAGAAAAATGACTGCATAGAACAACAACAATTGATTCAGGGGACCGCAACTCTGCTGCTCGAGCTTTGCCCGGGTTTGCACTGTTGGAGAGTTGATGCGAATCGCCCCCCATGTTGGATGTTGATTGATTCTACGCAGCAGCCTTTTCGCCTGTATGGGTGTGCATTGAATAGAGACACTCCAAAAGAATCTGGAGAAGAGAAGCATCTCAGGTATTATTGGACGCCTAAAACCCGGTGGCTGCAGGAACTCAATTCGACACCCCAAGAGTCAGTCTGAGGCCTGACAAATCATGGACATTTGAGTGGCGTCTCCTCGCCATTTTTATATACTGTACTGTACATGGAAAAGAAATCGAGCCACCATGTTTTGCTATGCCTTCTTCAACACCTCAACAGCTATCCTTTAAGAATTGCTGTATCCGTTCCTAGCATGATCTGAGCTTCTCCCTGATGCAAGGGCTCATCTTCAGCAACATCTCCTGGGCTTGGCATCTGGAGCGTCTGCAGTGCTGGCTGTGCTGACAGAGTGTCAGCAGGCAGCAGGGTTGCGCACTTCAATTCTTGGATGGCTTGCTGGGATTCAATCTACATAGTACAATGACTGAGTACCTTTGCATTTCCACTGAGAAACATGGACACAATATGACACAATTATATATGTATAGAAGGTATCCCTCCAATCCCACAAATGATGACTCTCCACACCTATGGATCCGGAGGCCCCTAAATCTGATGATCTGGTGCTGCTGGTCTGCACAACACCATACAGAAGATAATCTCTCACTGTTGGCAATTTATCAAGATGTTAAGAGTTTTCTACGCTAGTGGAGTCATCTCTCAGTGCCTACACTACGTCCAAATGCCTCTCTAGATTTACACTACATAAACCGTCCGCATTTTCGTTCTAACTGTCAAATAAGTTCAATACAATACCTATCTACCATACAATCATCTCAAACGCAGCACTGGAGCAAGGAAAAAACACTTGAAAACCCTCCAATAGTACACGGGTTGAAACACGACACAAGCTCCATTGATATCCCTTGAATGTCCATGCTTTTCTGAAGATCTGCCGAGTTGCAACTGTATGGAAAACATTCACCTGACCGTCGCTTCTCTCAACATGGCTCGAACCAATTCTCACCCTCAAAATCGGGAAAAACTCGTCGTTGAACGGTGAACTCGTTTCAATCGGCATATGTTTTTCACGGACTGCTTGAAAAACGTCTTCCCGTTTCATCGGTCATCTCTGGTTTCACTCCCAGGTTCATCCAAACACACTCTGCTCTATAACCAATGAGTATACAATAGTATACAGCACGTGTTCAAGAACATCACCTTGGGACCTTGGGCACCAGGAGAACCAGGAGAACCATGTAGGGCCTTGATCAACAACAAATTGGGCTTTCGTGCAGGCGTGGCAATGTTTGATGCCATGTTGGTGCAGTCAGTGGAGTCCTTGCAAACACCTCTTGTGCTGGCAAAGCCCATGCCAAATCCCTGTCTTTTGTACACTATAATCCTTTGTACCTAGAAGCAATGGCCTCCAGCTTAATAGCGTAATATATATTGAGACTTGAAAACTGTTATCATCCAATTGCAGTGACTGAGAGACGCCTTCACAGCACCTTGATAATATCCTGTACCATCCTAGTACATATACCTTAAGGCTATCACAACATCTTGATGTGCCATTCTCAGTGGTTGACTGCGAATCAACAACCGTTCGCTTCACTAGTGTGCATGCGGGGCCTTTCAACTCCTGGTGCATTCTTACATACTCCTCACGTATGTGTATATATATATATATACACACCCCATATCTACTCTCCTTACGTACTCCATCGCTGTGACTTCTGCAACAGGTCTCGACCGCCTGGGCCGCTTTGAGGGCCAGCTGGGCTGGACTCAGCTCCGGCACTTCCTCGGACAGTTGCTGGACGAATCGGTGTTGCGTTGATCGTTTTTTGCGGGTATGTCCTATTGCCAGCACTTTGTGGATGATGCCTAGGTTGGCACAAAAAGGGAGGGATCATCTTTGACCCACTGGTAATGGGCCACACCCTAAATGGATTCACCTTATGAAGTCTTCCTACTTTCTCGTGCTTGGATGTTCATTGCAGCTAACCCCAAAGCGCCATGTTCTATGTGACTAGTGCTCTGGTGCAACAAAGCAACATAACTCACGCACTGCGGGAATGAACCTTTGAGATTCCAGGCACTCTTGCAAGATCTTGCAAGGATTGGTGATATCACCATCCTCTAGTGGATAGACGATCCGAAAATCCAAAATATTCCAAACATGAGCCATCTCTACCTTTGTTTGTAAATTGCTTCATCTTCAACTTTTACTTGAATGCGACTCTTATATATATAAGTACATACCTCTGTAGCAATGAGTAGGGTCTTTGTTGGCGAACAAAAAAGTGGTTGTCAAATGTATGACAGAGCCTTGTTGCACAAATCGATGGTATGATAGGGCTTAAAACTAGGGTGCAACCCAAACCTTTTGGTATTTTAAAAGGTGAGGTGCCGGGATCCTGTTTTTGAGCCACATCCACAGCTTCTTTTCTCTCAAATCGTCGCAAATATGGTTGCTTGGCTGCAACATGTCCAAAAACAGCACAAGCTGGAGCAAAGGCTTTAAAATCGATAGTACAGCAGTGCCAGCTCCACCAACAGCGTACTGCACTATTCGTTGCGCGAATCTTCGCACACGGGAAGATGGGATCGACTCCACGTTTCTGTTGCAGAGACCGATCATCAAAAGGTTGGCGTAGCTCAGAAGTGGTGCGAGTAGATCATGGTCTCGTATGTCGGGTAGGGGTACCTTAGTCAGGTTCCCTGTCGGGAGAAAAGGAACATAATGACATACCAGTAATGCTTCCTTGATCCTTGAGCTGGCAACGCGATTTGTCTGTACTATTTGTACACTGGTCAGACATTTAATGTGTAATATCCACTACATGTCCAGTCGAAGACATCATCCCACTGAAAATTAAAGCATCACCATGAAAAACATCGGTTGCGGCAAGCTCGTCTTTGTTCGGACACTGCCTCATATTGTCAAATCCAGCTGTTGTGGGAGTGCAAATGGTTTACATCTATTACTTTACTATTATCTAGTATTGCATTTTCAGTGCAAAAGCGATGGCTGCATGGACTCGATCAAGAACCCATACGACTGCGTTCGAAGATGTCTAATTCTAGCGCCATTGTGCCCATTTCCTTTCCTGCACTTGGTTCTCCTGGCATATCCTGGCTGATTTGCTCTTGTGACTCGTGAAGTAAGGGAAATACCAATGGTGCTACCGCTCCGTGACCAGAATCAAACCCACAATGATGTACACTGTCAAAGATTTACTCTGACGGAGTGCAAAAAGAAGGCTTTTCAACCACGATGGATAAACTCAAGGGTGCTAGAAGTGGCTGTCTATATACACAAACAAAGGAATAATATACTATATAATACATGTCATACAACTGTGTCTCTCCAACTGACTTGAACATACACGAGAAGCCAATGGCAATCCATTCATTGAGTAGATGTTATACCTTGTGCCAGTCCAGTTTGCTCATTTGCCACCTGCTCAGCCAGTGTGAATGCTCGGGACTCGGCACCCTTCCCGTTTGACACATGATGGCGCCTGGTCCCTGCAAAGTCCGAGCTTTCTCCCCGACGACCCTGACACTCCAGGCCCAAATTAACTACGGTGACGGAGTCGAGGGTCCAAAAGTCCAGACATGGGCATTGAAATGAATCTCAAGTGGTCGGTACAAAGTTTTAGCTATGTACTCCAGTAACAATTACCTGCAACAATGCAACAAGTTCTTCTTTCTGGAGCTTCAAGAAATTCCAGCCAGCTCCAACGCGGTTTCAGTATGCCTCCATCCTCCTCTGCCTCTTTTGACCTTCCGTCCGCCTTCTCCGTCCCAGGGGCAATCCACTCTCAAGCAAGCTCTCCGCCTTGTCGACCGCCGCCCGCAGCGCCACCATCTGTGGCTTCACAGTGTCACACAGGAAGACGGCCTCCGACGGAAACCCACCACCACGTCGTGCTCGGGGCGGGGTGGCATGGGACTGCAAAACGAAAAGCTGAAATGGAAGAGGAGGAGGAGGAGGAGGAGGAAGCAGCTGGCCCTCTGGCAAGCTGTTACTCTTTTGGAGAATGCTGGGATGGTCATGATATGTCATGATAGGTCCCCACAAAATGCGACCCCTAGAATTCCAGCTGGAATCCAATGGACACCCAACCCCAAAAACCCACCGCTTTTCCACCCAGCTTGTCCGCAAGCGGTCTCCTCATCAGGGATCGTGCGCCTCCTCAGTCAGGGAGCTGTGGGGCTTGGCGCTGAAGGAGGCTTTCAGCTTCTCCAACTGCTCCACGATGGCCTCGTAGACCTGAAACCATCGCGATGTGCATCGCTCTGGACTATCTCACCCGCATGGTAAGCAGGTGACATCTAGGCGTCTACCAGAATCGGGTACCAGGATATCTTCAGAAAAGAAGAAACACTACTTACTTAGTGTAGAAAGCCTGAAAGACTATGAACCACTCTGGGATCATCTTTCTTGCAGCTCAAAAAATCACCACGACCGAGTCATTTATCTCATCAGGTCTTACCTGACTCCGCCTGATCGGTACCGGTGGGGACTCAAGCAGCCGATGCAACGATTCTTTGCAACAGAAGCAACACATGGAACATGACCAACGTGGGAAGAGGACGTCGTTCCTCCACCAACAACAGGTGGATTTTCATGGTTGTTCACTGCCATGTTAGTTGGAGGGATTCATTGGTTCCAGTTTGACCATCCATCTTCTGCGCTCAATCTGGCAAGTAGATCCTCCAAACACCGTCACTTCTCGTACCTAGGAACCTTTCATGGCGGGACCGGCAAAGCTGTTCAGTGGTTGAGCAGCATGGCCGGAAGATGGGATACCTTTTTGCATCATGGCAACGCGGATAAGGCAAAAACTACGTGGCAAAAATGCATGTCTCAGATATACCAACAAATCCCTCAGCTGCCACTCCAAGAGCCCAGCACTCTTGCGGCTGCCCGCCAACTTGTCGAAGCCCTTGTACTTCTCCAAGTCCTGAACCAAAAAGACACTGAGATGAGAGCTTTTCAACACACGATGCATATCGTTGCATACTACACATATTCTGCACCTATCTCTGACAGGGCGGCCATCCTGCAGTCCTTGGCGCATGCTGGGAGGATGCCTGTCTCGGTCATTTGAATCATGGTCTCCACCTGTCACGTGCAACTGCCTCAAGGACTGGGAATTGACTCTCCCACATGTCGGGAGTCAAAGCCAGTACCAGGATACCTTGTTTACCTATGTTTACCTTGGCCATTGGTTGACCTACCTGGAAAATCAAGCTGCGTGGTGTTGGGGCTCCAGCTTTTGGCCACTTGGACCTAGTTGTACCTAATTCTTGTAAGTCTTGGGTCTTCCTCTTGGACTCTTGGCCTTACTGGGCGGCCTTTCAGTCGTGTGGACCCGGACCGAACCACCACGGACCGTCCATGCCACGACCAGACTCACCCGCCGAACCTCACAGCACATGGAGGAAATGTAGTTCTCATACCTTCGAGCAGGTCGGCCGTGGACCGGGGGATTGGCGTGCCGTAGATTGTGGTAGGGTCGTAGATTGTCTAGTTTTATAATCCTCCGGGGCTTAAGCAAGACAAAACATTGAAGCCATCAAAAGGAGGCGGATTCTATACCAGCATAAGGTTGGCCAGGGAGCAGGTTTGCCGTCTCTCAGCTAGGTGTCAACACCTGCCTCTACAATCTGTAATTATTCAATAGTGTTGAATCAAGCTATGTGGTGAGGCAAGCAAGGTCTAGAAGAGCAAACAAATTCAGAGATGAATGTAAGGCGGGCTTGTCTCAGGATGTTCTCATTCCTCTTGTGTCGTTTGCGTCCTTCTAAAAGATGTAATGACTCTAAGATTTCGGAGCTCCTCAGAAACAACATGCGGCAAAACAAGTTATCTACGCTGGGATCAACATGTCCATCATCCAAACGCGGCTTCTCAGAAATCTCAACATGTTTGGATAGAGCTTCGCTCCGTTGCTGCGTCTCAACAATTATCGATGGGGATCTTAGGGAGATCCCTGAAAAGACCGGAAAGTGAAGGGCACCAAGTGAAAGTGGGTGTGTACTTCAATGAGAACAAACCAATGTGTTCTTAACGGTCCACACCCGGTCCGCTCATCCGGAGGGAAGAAGTGACCCGCACTTCCGGGTCTGACCCGGTCCGCATCTCAACGGGTGCGGACCAGAGGCTTTCCAAAGCTTTTTCCGAACCTTCCATGGGGTCAAACTTGGAGGCCTCTCTATTTGAGCTACATGGGCCATGTGCACACCCAGGGGCGCTACCTCTCCAGCCGAGTGACATCACTTCTTGACGCGCCTCAGTCTCCTGTCAAATGCAAAGCCAAGGGAGGGGCATTACTGGATGGCAGGTGCGCCGTATGCAATCTTGAGCTCTGTGCAAGCTGGATATCACGTCCTGTGTACAGTACCTGCCTGCTCCGGGGGCACAAGACTGGGGACATGTCTGACATATCCACAACCTGTCACCAGCATCTGGCAATACAACAAAAGACCAAAGATTCTAAAGGCAAGAGTCGGCAAGATGATGATTAGCTGTGAACATGGGTCCTTCCAGAGAGATCGACACCCACAGCTGAAGCCCCTTCACACCTGTCCTCCATCGTGTAGATCTTCAAAGACTCCAGGAGCTTCTTGTTCTTCTCCGAGGTCCAAGTTGCGATGGCCTGAAGGGCGGACATCCCTGTCACAGGGGAAAATATATACATGTTTCCAACTATGGCTAACTGGCTAACTTGGATCTCGCCCCAAATCGGAAGATCGCATGACTTGGATTCAGGCTACCGTGACAAATAGTCCGGCATGTAAAACTGAGAAGAAAAGGGGAATATGTTGTCGCTTTGGGGCGGAATATCGAGCTTCTTCACTGGTCACCGCCACCAAATAACGATGAAATGATGATTGAAATTATAGTAGATCTTTTCCTCGACTACTCCTCCAACTGCCGCAGTATCATTCCATCCTTCCTTCCCCGCCACCCAGCCACACCCCCTGACACGCGCTCTCGCCCCAAAAGAAGGCCTTGGGCGTGGTGTTGAGGTTTGGGAGGCCACGCTTGCTCGCTTCAATGGGCCACTCTGAGGAGTAGCCATTCCCTGTGAAGATCACGTGCCTCGCTTCGGAAGTGAATTGGAAGGATCGGATCAGGTGTTAACTCTGAAAGGTGACCATGGTGGGAAGCCCAAAGGTGACCATTCACCATCTTCGATCATCCGAATCATCCAAAACGTGTTCAATGGAGTTGCATGTCCAGCAGTTGGGGGGCCAATAGTGACTACTACGAAGAGAGAAGTTGCTACGGGTACGGGTACATTGGATTGTGTATCTATTATCTTATATATTATATATATAATATACATATATATACAGTATATATATATATTGAAATGGTAACAATGGTACTGGTTTTGCTACCTTTACACGCTTGGTTGTGCTTCTCAAGCTAGTTCAATTTGGTCCATCAACGGTGATGCGTCGATGAAGCTGCCTCTTTTCTGCCTCCATGTTTAGCATTGCTTGAATGCAATGCAGTGCTTCAGCTACTAATCGACCAGCCACCACCAAATGCAGCTTGGATGCTTGTTCTCCTTGAAGATCTCAGCCACAGCATCTCGATGGCTCTTGCCGCCCTCAACCAAGCTGGCCAGGTGCGCCATTCCTCTCAGCGTGGCGCAAGGAGCACCACTGCTAGTGTCGGAAAAACTCCCAAAAAGGCACTGAATGCCACACTGCAATTTTTGGATGTCAAATAAGCAACAAATAATGAACATAATGATTCATTAGAACCTTTGACCCAACTTGGGCTTTGAACACTGTCAATGTAAATTCCTGAGGCAAGCTGGAAAAAATTGAACATCATGTGAGCCAACCCCGACGGACAAATCATTGATGCCACTAAAGGGCGGAAGTGTTTAATGGTTTGTCGACGATACTCATCAATACTCCAATGGGCCAAAGCGGGCCTTTGATATTGTCAGATTATGTTCTATTCCTTCCCATGGACCCTCACCAGCTATTCCATGGGTGTAAACATGATTTGACTCACACCAACATAGAAATTCCGACTAGGAAGCCTCCTAACGACAACTGCGTTGTATGCGACTAGTTTACAAAACTGAGGACCCTAGCTGCTAGCCCGACCTCTCCTGCGGACATGATGGCGTTGCAAACCATCACTGGGAAGCAGCAATTCCTCATTATGCAGCAAGTGATACAGTGGCTGTTGCCAGCTGCATTCCAATCGACAGCCCCTTACATCCCTTTCCCAATTGTTGGGCAAAAAAACTTTTGGAGGTTGAGGATGAACAGGGCAAGGCTCTCAATAAATTCTTCAGGATTCTTAAGGCACTCAACCAAAACATCCTGCTTTTTGGTGTTTCTTTGGGGTGCCAAGCCGCTGTGAGGAGCCGACGGCCCGGAACTCAAAGCCTCAGAAACTGAGGTGGACAAACACAGTGGACAAACCCAACATCTCACCAACAACATTCAGACCTTCAACTCACCGACAACACGTCACCAAGAGGTTTGAGGCGACGCCATCGCTAATAGGCTGGAGGCCATCCCTCTTAGGATGGAGGCAATTGCTCTTAGGTTCGAGGCCATTGCTATTTATTAGGTTTGTTGCTATTAGATCTGTTTGGGGATACTGATCGACTTGGTGGCTTTGCCGACCCGTCTGCGGTTTCGTTCCTGGCGAAGTGTCATTGTCCTTGCCGTGCGGCGATTTCCGCAGAAGGGGAAGGGCGCAGTACGATTCCTGTCCTCCACCGGGGCTTCGATGTGCATGGCAGCGCTGCAACCCGTCGACTGTTTCTTCCTCGATTGAACATCAAGAGGTGCATTCAAACACCTGTCCAGTTTTGACTACGCTTCCAAGCGATGATACAAGACAAACATACGAGGACCAATTCACAACTATTTGCACTATGGCTCCTTTATGCCTTGCGTGAAGAACAGCTTGGCATCCTAAGAGTTACTCTCCGGCGATCATCCGAACAAACTCTTCACTGTGTCTGCGTCTCAAAAAATATCGTGCGGCCCCCAGCAATGCTGGGCCCTCCAACCGTTGGAACAGTACGAAGAGGTGCTCAGAACACAACGGTTGGCGCATCCCGTTGGCCAAGCCACTTTTCCGCCTTGTAGCCCAACAAATCCCCACCAGAGATGATGCCTCAGCACCAAGCAGTGGCACTGGGAGCCAAACAATTGCCGTGAGGACATCGCATATGTGGAGTTAGAAATGAGCGACTCTAGATGAGAGATGAGAAATTGTTTAGGATATTTGTTTAGTTTAGTGAGTACATGGGAGCACAAAAGGCTGAGCAAGTCAATATCTCTTCCCCCCCAATGAATATGTTGAATGTGCTGGGCTTCTGCAAAAAGTCAAACACTGCACAAAATTTGACCGTTTCACACATTTGAACTGACGTGGGCCTCGTTGATCAAGCACCAGTTTATTTCAAGTCAAGGGCCTTTTTGGACCCATTTATCAAGGCATCGTCACTTAATTCTCTTGGTCCCTAGAGCCAGTCCAGGATCCTCGTATCTAATAACATAATGTCGACATATGATTAGTAACCCTGAATAGAAGCTAAGCAAATCCCAAAACAGATTTATAAACACATCCTAAATAACGCTAACTGTTTTCAGCCCTGGACCTGGATATCCCAAATCCAGCCTTTAAAACATGTCTTGAGAACTGCTCCAGCCTCAATCTCATTGCTCTCAATTGCTCTCAATCTAATTTAACCCCAATCGCATTCCCATTGATGAACTCTTCTTCTCAACTAGCTGACCCCCTAAAACTCCAAAACAACTTAAGAGTTCTTCGTTTAAAATTCATTATGAAAAAGCTTTTAGGAAGCCTATGAAAACAGTTCAGCAAGGGTACCCCTCATGAATGGCCCAAGGACAAAGTAATGGCTGACCCTAAATACAGCTAATGTGTTCTGCTGGCAGAAAAATATCCACAATACTAATTGTCCTTTTGTCTTAATTCCAGAGTGGGGATTCATGCTGAGCTAAAGGAATGGGTCCTCAATGAGTCCTGCTGAGGATTCCTGCTGAGCCGATAGAATGGGTCCTCAATGAGTCCTGCTGAGGTGATGGATTCCTTCTTCTAATAGATGCCTTTCCTCTATAGACTCTATAGATTCCTTTCTTCAGATATTTCTCTATACTAGATGAAAATTTCTACCAATACTAAACACGTCACTGATTTAAGTCTATTTCAGGTCTCGCAGGAGGGGGGGGCATATTTATTTATCAGTGAGATGTGGACATTATTACATATACAGTATACATATTATATACATAAGTTTATCATAGTATGTTTGTCATTTGTTGGGCCTTTCATCAACAAGAAACCACCAAAAGCACGGAGTCGCTGGACGCCCCAAATAAACTTGGTGGCCTTCAGAACGTTACACATCACCTCCTATAGCTTCTAAGGCTTGGCCCCAGAAGTCATAGCTCTTCAAAGGATTGTATAATTTATGTTTTTGAACAGCGTTTGGATACTATGGCCTCAACCCCTTTATATAGCTCATAATGTCACAGTCTGCGAGCCCAACAATGGAACCTGTTAGCCCTCATATATAGATCTGGGTGGATCTCTGGTATCTCCTCGTCCTTATCCATCGTCACCGGCACCGGCCTCGACTTCGTCCGAACATGCCCAGTTGCTCTCCATGAACTGCTCGAAGCCTTGACCTACCGAAGATATGAAGCCAAAAGTACCACAGTTCTTCTGACACCACCAAGAGAACCCCAAGCCAGAGAGCAAAGTTCACCTAGTGGGTCATAGAAGGACTAGAACTATCTGAGACTTTGGTGGGTATCACAAAGAATGACTCGACGCCAGCTTGCTGGATCCAACAACTTGGCCCTGGAAATCGTTGGGCGGCGGAGTGTCCAACAGCGCTAGGGAAGGTTAATGTGGGTAGGGTGGGTCTCCGCCGCGAATGAGCTGGAGGTGTCGGGCCCAACCCATGGGAAGAGCACGTCCACGTCCACGTTTCACATCCTACGAACAAGTCCAACGAGATGATCAAGACTACGACCTGCTAGGAGGTTCCAAAAGAACAAAACTTCTGAAAGCTCTTTCTCTCAGCTCCGGCTCCTCCGTCCATCTCTCCACCACGAAAAATTGCAAGACGCTCGTCCGGTTGTGAATCCGCAAGTCGCTCGAGTTTGGGTTTTACCTCCTCGTCCGTGCTTCAGGACACTCAATTTCACCATCATGAACCTCTATGAACCTCCTCAAAGCGTTCGCTCCTCACTCCGACTCCTCAAATCGTTCGCTTTTTTTTGCTCGGCCCAATCGTCCCAGCCTGGATAGAGGGAGATGATGGCGGGGGGGGCCTCCTGGGCGCCCAAGCGGTGGTCATTTCCGGCAGAGGCCACCGTGCAGCGGACCATCTCGTTGTACTGTGCCAAGCCGTAGGCCAGGCAAGCGATGGCTGTGACATAGAGCTTGGCACCAGCCTGGGTGGCGGAAAGCCCAATGGCCCAAAACGAAAAGCGAATGACTCGGTCAAACGGTCCAAACATCGGAACTTGCAGGGGGTTCAGGACGCGACTCGAACGGAACAAGGACGCTACGTTCGGGGCTCCTGGCCTTATTACTAGGAGCAAGGATGCTACGAACGGAGCGAATCCGTGCGAATCCCACACTTCACATCCAGCATTCTCAAGCTGGTCAGAGGGACTCCTATTCACAGTGGGTAGATCTTGTAGATGAACACGGCTTTGGGGGCTTCCAGCGTAGAACCCATTAAAACAGCAGCCACCCCAAGAAATCATGTGCCAGTCCGACAGGGCTCGATACTTGCTGGATCCCTCTCAGCATTGACCCGGCCTCATTCTTGCCAGGGTAGAAGAAGTTCATGCCTGAGGAGGAGTAGCCCCAGATCGGCGTGATGGCATGCCCTCCGCCATGTTCTCAAATTAGTCTGCCCAAAAAAAGAAAAGCAGCATACATGCCTGTGCATCAAAAGTTATTTTGGAGAAGAGACGTCAGAGGTTGCTGAAGGTTCCTCATGCATCCTCATGGCAGGAAATTTGAGGGGGTGATTAGTGCAGTCAAGTGTTTTGTTCAACCATTTTGGCAGCCAAAAGCATCCAATCGTGAACTTAGCCTTCTTCACGCATCTATAATTGGAATCAATTGAAAGGACTCTGTAGTAATGCCCTGGTCTGCCCAGTACAACAACATACATAACCCATAGAGATTCCAAGAACAATGTTTCTGGTGGTGACCAGTTTTTGAATCAACTCACAGCCATACCTGGGCAGAAGATACCACCCAGGACCAGGCGCCTGTGTCGGTGCCAATGGACCAGTTGGCATGTTTGCCACTGCCATTGATGCCAGCAAAGGGCTTCTCGTGGAAGAGAACCTCAAAGGATTCTTCGAAGTGTCAACATGCAGACCTGCTCAGGCTACAGGGATCTCTGAGAAAGCAAAATGAAGACCATTCATCATGAGGGTTGATGTTTGTTGTTTCAAGGCCATCCATGAAAGTTGCATCAAGTTGCTTGCGGCCACAACATCCTTACCAAGCAACACTCCCCGGTGGAGAGATGTATCCTTCTTCTACCCTGTGGCCGACATCGCTCGGCTCCGTTCGATAGCTCGACCCGATTCCCGGCCAACGCCACCGGTGGCGCCTGCAATCCCAGCTTTTGAGCCTCACGGTTCATGACCTCCATGAAGAGCACGTTGCTGTCGCAGGAGACCTCCAGTCTGAGACATGTGATCCAGCGGATGTGATCGGAAACGGTGACGCCAAGCCATACACAGAGCCAAGCCGGGGTACCGATTTGTGTGGAATTTGAAGAGCGCAGAACATTCAGACCAGCACTTCACTTGTCTTGAAGGCCGCGAACAGAACCCCTCATAGTCTTTATGTGGACGTCTTTAGCTTTAGCTGATCAAATGATGATCACAATACAGTGGCGGCGTGGCGGTGAAGTGCTGATACGTTCACCCTCGCAAAACCATTGAAAGTGGACGGCTCTTGACAGAACTAATTACACCTGGTATGTGACAATGCAATGGTGCCTGCACACGCAGCATATAGTGAAGGCTCAGAGCAATAGACTTGTTTTGCGACAGGTTGAGACTGTCAGGCACAAAGACTGTCAGAAGTCCCAAATAAAACCATCATTACATACATTATTTAAATACGATTACATCTTAATCTCGCAAATCCATGGAACCCACGTTCACAAGTGTCCACTCATGTGCTCCTGCAACTTGAATGGCTGCCTCGAACCGCGAAGCCTACAAAGGCCTCAACAAGTCCTATTGTGTCCTGTTTAGGCATCGCAACAAAGGATGCACTGCACTACAGTGCAGTTCATTGCTCCAAGCACAAAACGTGCCATGGTCAAAACATAGATTCGCGATGCGAATCCTTCCCTTCCCATTGGTTTTAGGGTTGTATAGTAGGTCTTCGAAAGATTTCCAAAGTGTGTCCATCCCCATCCCCCCACGCACACATTCCATGAATTTAGATGGACCAAATTGTGTTAGAAGTTCCACTGTCAAATCTTCCCGTTGGGTGACCAACAAAGCCCAAATATATACTTGCTAATGCATGTCGCCTTTTGATTCCTTGTGTAACTTGTTGTCATGAAGTCCTAAAGGAAAAACAAAGCTCTCTGTGCCCAACCCAGAGACGTTGGCCGTTCGGAAGACCGGAGACATCTCATGTTGTCCTGGCGCCACTTCGTTGTGCTTCACCGCCATGGGGCAGCCCACCTTCAACATCTCCGCTTGAGCAATGTCCAGCAGGTCCTCGGACGAGCGGCTGGTCACTCGACTTGCTGGTGTTCGGCCCTCCAAGACAAACGGAGATGATTACAGAACAAATATTATGTATACAATGTATACGTACAACGCTACTTGATGCATTAACGTAGTTTTGTATAGTTTTGTAGTGTAAAAAGAAGAAGCCTCCCGATGTTGATGGCAATCCCCGTGCTACTGACTTCTCTTGGTGTCACCGAAAACGTGGCAATCCTGGAGGGTTTCCAACTGAGCACTATCCCCAAGCGACAAAAAAGTGCAGCTGAAGCTCTTGCACTTTGCCTGGAATTGGTTGGAAGTAGTTCAGATCTCCCTGCTGGTGTCGCGTGGGCAGCTTGCCAAACAATGTTCGACCGCAGTTCACCAGGTCAGGCCGAGCTTTGTAGTGATCGGCAGAGATGACGAAGAACTCTTGCTCCCAGCCAAGGTAACCTGGCGCACAGGCACGGCACTTGCACGGCACTGGCACGTCCCGGCACCACGAGCACCCCGGACTCCAGTCCCCAAACATCGAAAAAGCCGTGAAGGTTCAGTTGCATGATGGTCATTGAAAACTTTCCGAGGTATCCAAAGGCCTGAGTGTTCATGTGGATTGTTCACCTGAAGGTGAAAGTTCAGCAATAATATCAAACATAAAACATCATAAACCTATAAAACTCACTCATTCACGCACACACACCTCAATAATGACATCCTGAAACCTGGTCCCCTTCCTCGAAGCCATGGGTCGACTGTCAAAGGTAAACCTGAATCCTTCAAGAGCCTCACCCTTTCAATTGTTCAAACAGAGTGGTTTCAAACAGAGGCTCAAAACCCCAAGATGTCTTTAGAATGGGGCAAGGGCTTGTCTTTTGGTCAAGCGTTGGCCGGTCCCCAGGTCCCCAGGTCAGCCATAGAGGATGACCGTTTTCTGGAGCCCCAGAATTCAGGCCATCGTGCTCCACATCGCGATTACCGACAAATCCCTGCGTGTGTCATCCACATCCCACAAAAACGGGCTGGACGGGTTTGCATCCCAAAAACCAACATCGAAGTGCAATTAAGTGGACAGTCTTCTGTTTCTGAGGAGTGCATAGGGTTTCAACGGGAAAAGTAGGTCCACGCGGACAGTCAGCAGCTAGCTACGGATCGTGCAGCTAGGCGGCTGCACATGGCCTTGGCATCGGTGCCAATGCCAATGGCTTTCCTTGGATTTGAAAGGTTTCCTTTTCCCGAAGCGCCGAAGAGTAACATCGGGCACGTGAAGGTTCCCTTGAGGCATCTGTTCAAACATGTGTTCCAAAAAGTATGCTCTCTTGCTCTCTTCATTTCCAAGCGATCAAGGCTAACTCAACTCGTCTCTCTCAATTTGAATTTGGGAAGTATGTGCCCTCAAAATCTAGGAACCAAATCACTAGCACGAGCGCTTCTTCAAGGAAGCTCCCCCTCAGGTGGGGGAGCTTCCTTGAAGAAGCGTGGGCTATCCTGCGTCCATATGTAGGAGCTTCCTATTGCTAGTAGCGTTTTTACTCCATTACAGAATTATTGAATTAAGTAGGCGCCTACTTAATTAAGGAGGCAGGTCCACGGGCTTTAAAGCAAGAAGAAACAATGGAACATATCTCAAGCAAGCAAAGGCTTCAAGAGCCGCAATCCACTCACAGTGACCGCATCCATGGAACGCAGCAGCGGAGTCTTTTCGTCAATGCCTCCGGGCAGACAGGGTTGCCGTAACCGTCGGTGTGCCCCCCCGGCCGGTGCCGTGTCGTCGGCAAAAGCATCAGTTGTCCAATCACCTAGTGTGTCCTGTGGCGATGCACTTGTTCCTAGTAGCGATGCACTTCTTAGATCATAGAACCTCAAAATCAACCTGCAAAGCCTTCTTTGCAAACTCGTGGCTAGCCAGCCACGGGTGCCTTTCGTGTCTTTTCGGTAGTGCCCACTCACTCGCTGTCACAATGTCGCCACGGTTATCCCACTGATGTTGGGTGATTCCCTAACCAACATGGAAGTGGACAGTATGACCACACATTCCTCTGGAAGCCCCCAATCAAGGGTTCTCAGGCCAAGAGGCACTTGCCAAAATGTGTCACGAAGGCACATGGAATCACCAAGCATCTCAGCAGATCGTGGCATGGCATGAACGCAACAAACCTATATATCGTAACTCGGTCCAGTGTCGGCTTACATTACATTTTTGGCTGATGGCATGCATTGGACCTGGTTGCAAACATGTCGCGATGTTTCTGTATCACATGTCATTTTATCAAAACCCTTACTGTATACCACATTTGCTCGCTTTCCTTACAATATATTGGAAATGCACTGGGGAAGGTGCGACCTGGTCACCCCAGTCGAGCCGGATCTGGTTGGGGATGTTTGGGCTGCCAAATGTTTGCTCATGCCGCGTGTTGAGCTTCCAAGACGGTCTGTTCGAAAAGGTTCGCTATAGTGCCAATTGCAAATGTTGATTTTAAAACAGCCACCGAGGTCAACCCTTTGACCAAATGAACACAATCATCAGCCACAGGCAGCAGAAATGTGGAGTTGTCCGGGCTCGAAATTGCGTGCCATAGATGATGGTGTTCGGTGTCCAGGCTGGGACAATTTCGAGTTTCAGTTTAGTATCACCCGTGGAAGCTTCAGCAGTTATATAGGTACTAAACGACCAGGTTTCTAGCTTTTCATGATAAACAACAAAAGCTGAGACTATAAGGTGAAGAGCTGAAATTGTGCGAAAGTACATAGCAAAAAATATCACAACATGCATGAGATCTGCCTCAATAGCAAACTAGACTAGACTACATAAATGGTTGAACTATAGCCTCCTTCTGCCATGTGCAGCAACAAATGTTCCAGGCAGTCACTGTATCTTGCTGCTCAAAAAAATGTTCATTCAATGCCCAACTCATTGATGAACTCTCTATTCCATGGAATCTACGGAACCCCGTCAAGCTGATCTGCCTCTGTCTTCCTTTCAATCTCTTCTCTGCCAAGGCGAACTCTACCCATGCGGATTCGCTCAAGTGTGTCGGTGCAAGTGCCACTTATATATCGCCAATCGCCAACACTGGGAAAATCCAAAAAACGCTGAATGTGTTATGTTTCTCCGGTTAAGACCTTAAGAGCCTTAAGAGCAGTCTTTCCAAAAAGAAAACATGATACTTGGATATATCATATATGATAAATATATATATATAACTATATATAGAGAGAGGTATTTAGTACCAATGTTATTCCATTTACTTCGAGCTGTACACCCTGGCTGGGATCCCGCACTTGTCCTGCACGAAGGGAAAGGATGCCCGGTCCCAGGTGGTGAAGGCCGCCGCCGAGTGCGTCACCCGCAGTCCACCGTTCCTGGGGAGCCACCGAGGAACGGCTGGTGCATGGATATCATATTTACATGATTCATGATTCTTCTATATATATACTGTGCAATGAATGAACATTGCGACTGTCAGCAGTGTGACGCCTCCAGTCGACTTTGGATCAAAGAAGAGCGAAGGTCTGCTATCACGGTCGCTAGTCCACCGTAGAGCTTAGAACCACAGCTCTTAGGCCAAAGGACCTGAGCATCGGTGAGCTGTGTCAACCGCTTACATGGTAGCGGAGCCCAATAGTGGCATCCGAGTAGATTAGATTTTGTAGCAGCAGGTGCTTGAGCCCCTGTTTTTGCAATGGCAGCGATTGAACGCAGCAAAGAAGGTGTGCCCCAATGGGACGGCTCTGCGAGCACGTTCCAAGAATACAGCGAACTGGCTGAGCACTGGGAACAGACCGTCCCCTACCACAAGCGATATTTGTGCGGCCCCAAGCTCCTGAATGAACTCTCAGGCACCGCAAGACGCTTCATCCTATCCAAGCGTCCAGGATGGCTTTCCCATGACGGTGGAGTACAAACCTTGTTGCGCCACCTTCGACAGCACCTCGGCCTACCTCAACTGTCCGAGATGAGCGATTACATGAACCCCTACTTCAAGCAGAGCCGAAGGAAGCGCAATGAGTCGATGAACGAGTACATCACCCGCAAGGCAGAGCTCTACTCCCGAACCGAGCAGACCTTGCAGCGAGCTCAGACCTACTACGCTCCTAGGAGTACATCCTCCCACTTGGCATCCATCCCGGAGTCGGGATCAGCCTCTCAGGTGCCAGAGCCTCCTGAAGAAATGCAGTATCATGATGCCTATGAAGAACAACCATCTGCCCCCTCCTCATTGGGGCAGGAAGCAGCCGGAGATCCAGGGACTAGAACTCCATCGCATCATGATCAGCAGGAATGGCAGTGGCACGCGTGGGGAGATTGGGATGCACAAGGGTGGGATTGGTCCGACCATGGGTGGAGTGATCACTCATGGAAGCAATCGACACGTCCTGAGCACACCTCGACCGAAGCCGTGTCCCGGGTGCAGTTGCTACCGGACTTCGTTCAAGGCTGGTTCCTCCTCCAAGATTCAGGCCTGGACACCAATGAGAAGAACATGGTCCTGGCAGCTCTGAGGAATGATATTAGTTTCTCAAGAGTGGCCCAGGAACTGAGGAGCCAGTGGACGGATGACGACCTCCGGAAGAGAGATCAAGGAGGTCGCGCCTCGGCATGGTCCATAGATGAAGCCACCGAGGATCCTTTTCAAGAGGACATGGCCAGTCCAGACATGAGCTACTTGGCCTACACCGGACTCAATGCTGATGGGATGGCATTGGTGAGTGAAGCCGAGTCGGAGGCCCAAGAGGCCATGGCTATGATGGAGAAGGGAAGACGTACCCTTCGAGAAGCCCGAGCTCGACAGCAATATGTGAAGCTGAGCCGACAGTACTATGGTCCTCCTGGCCGAAATCCCTTGAAGAGCACTACACCCGTGAAGAAGGAGAATCCCCACAGCAGTGCCCTTCGATGCCTTAGCTGCGGAGGTGGTCACAAGACTGAGGACTGCCCAAAGAAGCACAAGAGCTTCGCATCTGAGTGCGAAGCTGAGGAACCTCAGGCTCCTTTCATTTGCCTGGCCGACCAGGTCTTTGCGGCCGTGGGCGTGGGAGAAAAGATCACTACCCGACAGGCTATGGAACAAGGAAAAGCTGTGGTGGACGGTGGAGCCACTCGTACGTTGGGCTCCGTGACCGCCCTGGAGACCCTGATGCGCCTGAACCAACAGAAGAATGGCACTCCTGGCCTCGAAAAGCTGGATACAGAGCAACGTCCAACGTTTGGATTTGGGAATTCTTCCCGAGACCAGTGTTTGTCCACAGCATGGATGGCGATCCAGGCCGGCGGCCGTCAGGGGCAGTTGAAGGTCCATACCTTAGACAAAGGTACCGGACCTATTTTATTTTCCGTAGAAACATTGCGCGCTTTAGGCGCAGTGATTGATTTTGAACATGACTTGGTGTGTTTCAGGAAACTCGACCCTGAACGCATCATTCAGCTGGAGCAATCGAGCTCCGGCCATCAGTTGATCCCTCTCACCCAAGATTGGTACCATGCCTCCACCGCAGTGAGGAGCCCGGTGCCCAGTTTGAAAGATTTCATCTAGGGACAACTCCTCTCTCATCTGCCGTCTGCCAGAGAAAGAGAGGTCGCTGCAACTGCAGACTTGGGTGAGCAGTCAATGTTAGATTCACGTCAGTGTAAGAAACATGTTAGTTTTGATTTGTCTTGTGAAACGTCGTTGAACGGAAAGGGACATACATACAACACACACATGTCACCACGGCAATCACCACTTGAACCACCACCTCATGACCTTGAGTCACATGAACATGCAAAGCAAGCAGCAGCCGCACCAGCTCGAGAGGCCCATTGCCGCGAGGATCACAACACCTCCGAACTCAGCGCCAGTGCCAATGTCGAGCATGAAGAAGCCAGAGCTTGTCCAAGCCCTGAAGGACTTGGGCGAGACACCACCCAAGGAGTGGACCGTGCTCGAACTTCATGGCCGTCTCTCAGAGTTGCGCCAGGAGAAGGGCTTGCCAGAACTGGAGACCAAGAAGTCCCGCACTCCACTCCGCCAGATGATGGTCGACCTGAACAAGGCCCAGCGCCTGAAGGCCGATCTGGTCAAGTATGTCTCCGGCACGCTCAGAGTTCCCTTGACCGGCAACGAGACAGTCAAGGCGCTCATGCAAAAAGGAATGGAGGCTGTTTATCAGCAAGCTCCGGCATCCCCTCAGGATCCCATCGGATTCGGGAAACATGCCAGCATGACCTACGAGGAGCTGTGGCAGACACAGCCCTCCTACGCCCAGTGGGTGATGGACACTTCCTGGGAGAACGAGGGTTCGTGTCCTCGACTTCATCGACTGGCCAACTGGCTGGGGGAACGCAAGAAGATGATCGACATTGCAACACCCCGGAAGGCGGCAGCTTCTTCCGGAAAGGTGCCTATCGAGAAGACCAAGCCGAAGGGCATGATCGAACCATCCAAGACATCCTCCGGCTACGTGGAGCCGAGCCAGTCCTCAGATCCGGAGACCATGAAGATCTTGCAGATGCTGGCCTCCACAGTGGTCGAACTGAAGGAGGACATGGCTGTCCTGAAGGGCGAGCCGCCTCGCAAGGGCCAGAAGTCCACCAGCTCGGAACCGACCGAGCACAGCTTCGAAGTGATGGAGCCGATGCAGCAGTGAGCCCGAGGCCCCGTGATGACCTTAGCGGTCCGGAACCTAGTGTGGATTTAGAGCCAGACCTTAGCTTGATGGGCCAGGCCGACTTGAAACGCTTAAACCCGGGCATGAGTAGGCATTTGAGTCAGAAAACGGAATCCTTGTTGCCTGACACCATTCAAGCGCTGGCCACACACAATAGGTGCATCTTGTTGGAAATCGCATGCAGCCAGGAGAGTATTTTGACTAGAACGATGCAGGATATAACTGGCTCGGAAAAATCAGCACAGCGGCTTTCACTGTGGAACCATGTTGATCTGAGCACCAACAACGGTATTCGTTCGATCCTCGACCGTATCGACCAAGAACCTCCCCAACACGTGTGGTTGTCCATGGAATGTGGCCCCTACTCTGTGATGCAAAATGTGAACCAAAGGACCCCAGAACAACAACAGGCCTTGGAGGAAAAGCGGAAAACCGTGTTGAAGCAGTATGTTGGAGGGGCAATTGTGTATCAGTATTGCATTCAAAAGGGAATCCACTGCACATGGGAGTGGGCCCAATCGTGCCAGGCTTGGCGCCTGCCTCTGGTTCAGCATATCATGAAGCGCTATCAGGTGTACTTCGCTATTACTAGAGGTTGTCAGGTGGACCTCAAGGACCCGAAAGGACAATTCATTTCGAAGGGTTGGAAAATGATGACCACCAATAAGTGTTTGGCCAAGAGGATGGAGCTTCCATGTGTTTGTCCGTCTCATGTGGTCCATGTTCCATGCGAGGGTTCATTGACTCGGAAGACAGCGTTCTACACTCGGCCGTTCGCGAAGCGCGTGTGCGAAGCGTTGCTGCAGGGTAGTTTCCCCGATCAAATCCAAAAAGAGTTTGAGGGAGTTTTGTGGGGTGCGACATGTTTGGGAAAGGGTTGCAGTGTGTTTGTGAAGAGGGTCACAGACATGGAGCGGCCCTCCAGTGTGGCATGTGCAGAAGCGATCTCCCCGGCGCTTTGGCCTCCGACCAACAGGAAGAGGCCCCATGTGACCTTTCGAAAGAGGATATCCGTAGGAAGTTGTACCTGTTGCACTCCGCCACCGGACACAGTCCCATCAAGTACATGGTCCAAGCCCTGAAGAGAAGAGGGGTTCATTCCACCATCATTAAAGAAGCTGAAAACTTCCGTTGTTCCGTGTGCACTGAACGTGCACGTCCGCAGCCCAGGAACATCTCGGCACTTGAACCTCAACCCACCAAGTTTGCCACTCTGTCGGCAGACATTGGACATTTCGTCCACCCGGAGTCGGGGGAGCACGTTCAATTCGTTGTTTTCGTGGACGAGGGTTCTCGCTTCCGTGTGTCCCGGGTGATCACTAGGGGAAAGAAACAACATCCGTCAGCCGCTCAATTCATCTCAGTGCTCAAAGAAGCTTGGATCGCTTATTTCGGAATTCCCCTCAACCTACGAGTCGATCCAGACGGTGCGTTTCGTTCTCATGGCTTGGCCGACTTTTGTGACCAACAGAGAATTTTCCTGGACATTATTCCGGGGGAAGGTCATTGGAAGTTGGGGGTTTGTGAAAGAAGCATCCAAGCCATCAAAGAACTCCTACAAAAGGTATGCCAAGATCATCCAGATTCCACCATAGAGGATGCATTGTCGGAGTGCGTGCGAGTGTTGAACAATCGTGAAGTGGTCAGGGGCTATTCACCTATACAGCATGTTTTGGGTAGGGCACCTGATGATACAGGACGTATCTTTACCAGAGAGGTGGGACAATCACCGGACATCACATTGGAGACACCTATAACAGAACACCAGAAGTCAGCAGAACTTCGACTCACTGCAGAGAAGGCCTTTTTGGATTGGAACAACAGCCAGCGCCTACAGAGAGCAAGCAACTCGAAGCACAGAAGACTCCTAGACTTTAGTGCAGGTGACTTGGTTTACATATGGAGGAAACAGGTGACAGGAAAAGATGCCAAACCAGTCAAGACGACCAACGGAAAGTTTGTGGGACCAGCTCGGATCCTTGCTACAGAAAACCGGAGAGATGACCAGGGTCATCTAATTGCAGGATCCTCTGTCTGGTTAGTTCGAGGCCGGCGATTGTTGAAGTGTTGCCCAGAGCAGCTCCGACATGCCTCAGAACGAGAAAAGATCTTAGATGAACTCCATGCAGAAGATTCACAACCCTGGTCCTTCCCACGAGTGGCAGGTGAACTGGGTGGAAATGACTATGAAGACTGGTCAGAACAACCACCTGAAGAGGAATGGAGGAGAGCAGGTGATCCACAACATGAATGGCAACCAGCGGTGAGGCAGAGAGGGAAACGGCCTATGCCTCCCGACTATGAAGTTTCATCTTGTCCTGAAGGATCTGCCAGCAGCCGACTCCGAAGATCCTCAGAGCTCCAGGAAGAACAGCCGGACGTAGAAATGAACCAGGGAGTCACACTCCAACCACCACCCTGTGGGTTCCAGTCAGGCCCTGACTGGACTACACAGGTCCGAGAGAGTGCCTACCTGTCTAGTGAAGAAGAGAGCTATTGGAACAAACCAACGGCCGCCATCACCATCGAGATTGACATGCCTCAAACCCGAGGAGCCTCAGAACGTGCAATTAAGGACCTCAGTGCCTTCCTGGTCTCAGCCATGAAGAAACGAGCAATTGAGGTGTCAGAGAAGAGAATGACAGAAGAAGACCGACAGGCCTTCACTAAAGCCAAAGCAATTGAAGTGTCCAACTTTATTGCAGCCAGAGCATTCGAAGCACTACCAGCAGGCTACAGAGGCAGAAAGGAAGATGCTGTCCGCATGAGGTGGATCCTCACCTGGAAGGCTCTTCCAGGAGGTGGCAAGAAGGCAAAGGCACGTGCGGTACTCCTGGGATACCAGGATCCTGGATACGAAGGAAGGGCAACTACCTCACCAACCACAACACGACAGACTCGACAGGTACAATTGACCATAGCAGCCGCAAGAGGGTTTCAGACTTGGAAAGGAGATGTCACGGGAGCCTTTCTACAGTCCCGTGAATACCCAGATCAGCTCCTTTGCATTCCATGTCCAGAGATTCTGGCAGCAATGGGATTAGCTCCAGAGACCTTGACACGAGTCCGAAAAGCCTGCTATGGCTTAGTCGACGCGCCACTAGAGTGGTATAGGTCGATCAGTGAGTTCTTTCATGCACAGGGCCTTCGTCGTTGTTGGTCAGACCCGTGTTGTTGGACCTATGTCTCCCAAGGAGAGTTACAAGGCCTCATCTCGGGACACGTCGATGATTTTGTTTTCTCCGGAAACGAGGACCATGCAGGTTGGCAGTCAATTCTGACAGCAATACAAAAGCAATACAAATGGTCAGACTGGGAAAAGGACAGCTTTGTACAATGCGGGGTTCGTGTGGAGCGATCCCAAGACGGTACATATGCCTTGTCACAAGAATCTTACATCGAAGACCTGAAATACATCAACATTAGAGCTCATCGCAAGCAAGACAAGCATGGAACCACGGATGACTGGGAGAAAAGTCAGCTGAGAACCCTGCTGGGCGGAGTCAGCTGGCTAGCACAGCAAACCGCTCCTCACTTCGCAGCAGAAACAAGTCTGCTTCTTTCAGAAGTCTCACAAAGTACCGTCGAAACCTTGCATCGAGCAAATAAGCTGATGAATCAGGTCAAGTCCATGAAAGAACATAAAATGTTGATCCCAAAAGTGAATTTGAAGCACTTTGGCCTGTTTGTGTGGTGTGATGCTGCCGCACAAAACCGGACTGATGGTGGTAGCACTCAAGGGTTTTTGATAGGAGCTGCTAGTTTGGACCTCTTGAAAGGATCTTGTGAAGCTGTTTCCCCCATTTCATGGAACTCCTCTCGAATTCAAAGAGTGTGTAGGAGTCCAGGAGCTAGTGAAACGGCTGCGGCGGTTAACGCCGAGGATGCCCTGTTTTTCGCTCGATTCCAGTTCTCGGAAATGCTCGGTCACACCGTTCGCATCCGTGCCGTGAACGAATCGGTCAATCGGATCTCCGGATGTCTGATCACGGACTCTCGAAACGTGTTCGATAAGACGAAGACTGAGGTGATCTGTACTAAGGGCAATGAAAGAAGAGTGGACATAGAAATGATGTGCCTCAAGCATGGACAACTAAGGAATGGAGTCATCATTCGATGGGTACACAGCGATGCGCAGCTCTCCAACTCCTTGACGAAGAACGAACAGAGACAGCTGCAGATGTTCTACAAGATGAAGCAGCACTGGCGCATAGTACAAGACATAAACATGGCTTCAGCAAGGAAGCGAAAAGAGCAGAACATGGATCCACTTGAGAACAATCACATTCCACAAGACACCACACAAAACATACAAGACCCACAATAGTCCCGGACCGGGATCCGACCGTGTTCCTCGTTGGTTTTCTCGTGTTGGTTGGTTTGTTTCGGTTGTGTTGAAGTTTTTTTTACGTGAATCTAGCGCCTCGACTGCATTAGGAGGGAGAAGGGGGCATGCAATGAATGAACATTGCGACTGTCAGCAGTGTGACGCCTCCAGTCGACTTTGGATCAAAGAAGAGCGAAGGTCTGCTATCACGGTCGCTAGTCCACCGTAGAGCTTAGAACCACAGCTCTTAGGCCAAAGGACCTGAGCATCGGTGAGCTGTGTCAACCGCTTACATACTGTATGTCTATATACATGTACGATTACATATCCTACTGTAACTATATCTGCAACTATTGTTGAACAGGTTAAGGAACAATACGATCTCTTCAAAGACTTGGGAATGGCCTGGCAGGGTCTTCCTCTGCAATCTATATATATTATCATATTTGTCTGAGTCACACCCATCAGCATGCCCTAAATACATGATCCTTTGCTTGCGGGGTTAAACCTGTATGCTCACCAGGGTCCCTTGGATTGACGCGCACGATCACTTGGCTCCATCATCTCAAAACCGGTGAAAGCCTTGGTTCTTCGTAGATTCTAGGGACGGAAAGTGCCAGGCGGCGAGGAGGTGCCTTAAAATGTGTGTGCGTGTGTACCCTTGGAATCAGACGAAGCTTGTTGGCGCTTCCATGCTAATTTTAAGAGGGCACATGACCTATCGTGTGCAAGGAAGCTACGGTCGTAGATGGGAGGGGAAGGCTGATCATTTTCCTGTACCTGCTTTTATGAGTGTTGTAACTACTTTCCACTCGTAAAGTTCTTCAGGCTGTTGCAGGATGATTCAGGTCGGCAGATTTGCACTTCGCTCCGGCTTTCCGCGGTTCTTTGAAACTGCGAAGCCTTGTGAACTTAGAGATGGCTAGACCGCTTTGCATTTTACCCGTTTTACTCAGGCAGTTTTTTCACTTAGGCTTCTTCCATATGGGTGTTTGTTGGCGGTTCCTGAACCATCCGTTGCACAAAACAGCACGACTGTGAATCTAGGCAAAGGAGCAAAACTCCTAATCTAGCGAGCTTGTTTACTTTTCAAGCTTTCTCGATCAACCTTCAGGTGTTCGAGCTTCGGAAAGGATGAGCCGTCAGTCTCACCCTGGAACAAGCGCTCATGTGGCAAGCAGGCCTCCGGCAGACTTCAGAAGTGAGAAAGAGGCACTGCGGCACTGCAGTAGTATGTTCGTGCCACAAACGAAAGTCCTCTCAAACACTGAGATACTGTACTGTATTGATCTGTATTGTAGTTGTGGGGAATCTGGGAGATAGATTCATAGAGTTCTAAAACTTGCGAGTATCACTCGGTCTAGGGCATTTACAGGTACCTGGAAATCAAGCACTGAGAAAAAGACAATGCTTACTAAAAGGAGTAGCTAATACATGCAGTGATCATACCAAAGTACCGAGTCAGGGATCTGTGGGAGTACAGTACCCAATCGGAATCCAAATGGATTTATACGGCGATCAGTGGGAAACCACTGCAAAGAAAATGAGTTCCGTTATGGCTGAGCCCCGAATCCACAAACCTTCCTTTCCCGTTTCCTTCGCTTCCCTGCCTTCATGGGCTTTGTCACAAACCTCGACTCTGCGGTTGTCTGTTCACTTCGACTCTCAAGCAAAGAGTGGTCTCGGTCTTGTGTACATAGAACCCTTTCAAGCTCTCATGATGTGCATATCCTCGACTGCCTGGGAGCTTCAGCGTCCTTGCCAAACTACACTGACTGTCAACATGTGCTTGACATGGCGTTAATCTGCATTTCATGCTAAAAGGATTCCGGGATAATGAGAAGGATTATATAATTATCTATACATAAAATGAGATATTTCACCACCCAAGAATAGGTCATACATGGTCATATCCTCATCAACTGAACCATGTCAGTTTCTATCAGTTCTTGACACTTGCTCTGCAGCAGCTCCACCCAAAACTTCAGAGTTCCCCAGATCGAGGCCAAAGTGCTTGGAGCCGAACTCCAGGTCAATGAGTGTATCCTGTCATCACAAGCACCAAACCAAACCTCGCATTCCTGGGAACACCATGGCAAACACGCCTAAACATGGCTAAACTACATTCGATCGGAGGGAACATTGGAGGACTCCAGTGACTCCAGCCCTGCAATTGAATCATATGATAGGACCCTGATAGGATGTCCAGGTGCGTCCTTCTCAATTCACCGGTGGTTGCAGTTGACATCCGTGAGAGGCACCCTGCAGTCACTCCAGTCACCCGCCGCCTTCTTGTAGGCTCCAAGCATTCCTCCCACCGCACCACCACCGCCACGGAGGGGGAAGAACCTCGGTTGAGATAGGGATGCCCTGAAAATGCGAGGGATCTGAGTGACCGGCGACCGAATCAATAGTTAGCCAGATAAGCTCCACCAACAGCTGTGAAAACAGTTGTATGTCCAGGCTACTGTCATGCACATCTTGATGCTCCACTACTGGCCAGTACTGTGCGTGCCCAGTCCCTGTTAGCTATCAATCCAGTGTCTGTTCGCTCCTGGTACTTCAGGAGTTCATCGATCTGCATAACACTGAGATAGTCCTCTAACAGGCTAATACTTCTGGCATCTAGCAGGCGAACACTTCTGGCATAATTAACGTCTTTGAAAGCTGCTGGCCTGTTGAGTTGGCGGTTTGCCACATGTCAGGACCCCCTACACATATGTTTGGGCAAACGACCAATAGTCATGGGTGTTGAAATTGACAAATGCCCCTTGAGCCTGATGAAGACTCCTACCTTTCTCTAGTACAGACAAGAGTTGTTCGCTTCCGTTTTGCTGCTTCTAGGTGTAGAAACAAGTATGACCCTATCTTGATTCTTGATTATTCCATAAAACTGCTTCCATAAACTGACAACCAATGCCCTTAGCACCGCTGTCTGGCCAGCGAACCAATGGGCGAAATCGATGGCGCCCAACTCACGAGCCCACTCGAAGATGCAGTCGGCAATGACCTGACAGAAGGAAAGGATCGACTTTATGGAGATGAATTCTGGCTTAGAGCTGCGCATCTTGGAAACATGGCCCCTGTGTAAATCATGTACATCAGGACTTCCATGTAGGGGTGGAAGAGCAAAAGAAGTCACAGTCACCCACTTTGCAGAGTTCGACTAAAAGGCAGAACCGATTGTTGACCCACGTTGACCCCCGATCCAGCCCAATGCACGTTCCGTGAGTTCCGCGCGTTTGCCTTCTGATCCTCTTCGGGCGTGGGCTCTCCAGAGATGAGGCAGTCATTGAAGCGTTTCAGCACCGCACTCGGCAGCTTCTTGGCCATGACCGCGTCGTCCTTAACCGCCGAAATGCTTTTCTTCGTTCGGTGCACAAGTCTATTTGTCAAATGCTGTGAACACAATTAACCAACGAGTTCCCCAAAAATGCGGCGCTGACTGAGAGCACGCTGGGGATCTGCTTCAATCCACATCTACAAGTCAAGCACAGGCCACAGGAGACTGTGTTCCTTTACGGAGAAGGGATGTAATTACCCTTTCCAGGCTGTCTATCAGTTTGCTATAAACAACTGCGATGGCTGGCAAGCTTCGAACATGGCCGTGCCAGCGGTCGTGAGTGCATCCGCCATGGCTGGAGCAAAGGAAGATGTGAAGCTGCCAAAATGAAAATCAACTGCTTAGCTTGGGCCAAAAAGGAATGTCAGAAGATTTCAGCATCCCATGCAAACATGTAAGCATCACTTCAGGTCACTAAGCAAGCAAACAAATCCACAAAATACATCAGACCGCAGGTGAATTTCTAGTAACCGGTCCTTGAGTCACCCTTGAGAAACTCATGATTGTGACTGTATGATATATGATACTATAGTTAGATGCGTAATTATATATAATATGTAATAATATAAATGTATGAACCTTCCAAATCCCGCGAAGCTGCAGATGTGGCTTCTTCCACCACACCACGAAGACCAATCATCAAACTCCTCAAGGCTCGGTCCTCAAAGCTCGGTCCGTGCGACAAAAAGGCTCCGAGTCTCAGATCGAGCATCTATCTTGGCAGAACTCTGCTTGAAACTAATTGTTAAAGCATGTTGAGGATGTTCAATGTACAAATAACAGCTATAATATATATATATATATTGTACATATATAATCATATATATACACAGTTATACAGTATATCCAACCTTAGCACTCCTCACGTACTGGAAATTTCCATGATGCTTGGGTGAGTGACATCCCCCCGATGAAAATGCAACAGGAATCTTTCGACATAGGACATCGGCCTCTATCTTAGAAACAATGGAGAGTAGTGGCCCTTCACAAGCAATCAATTCCCGTATGTGTTGTTCACATGTTGATTGAGAAATGCCGCTCTTGAGCTTTTGCAGAACTCAGGACTCAATCAAGAAGCAGGTCATCTTGATATATCACTATATCTATATAGATATCCCTCCTAACTCGAGCTTCAGCTTACAGTCCAAAATGTGCTGGAAACCCATGCATTTGTGGATGCAATTCCCAATTCCCCGTATATAGTATAGGTAACATTAGGTAACACTCGGTCACAAGAGTAGTCTAGAGAGAAATCAACTATATAGAAAACTCGGTGACTTGCCATGTCTTTGGCTGGCATGTACTGGTGCACAAGTGTTTTGTTGCGTTTTCAAACGCCAACACCAGGGCGCTCCACGAGTGGGGCTCTGAGCAAAGAAGGTCTTGGTCGCATCATCTATGGCCTGAAGGTCTTGGTCGTCCGTTCCAAGCACGAATTGCAAATCAGAACAGCAAATTCCTCCGAAACTCGATTCGGGCTGGGTCTCGTGAAACCCATGTACCTTTGTCGCCTTTGCCCGGAGAACCCCAAAATCTATGGATGCTGGGTGTTTTGAGACTTGAGACTCGTGAAGAAGGTAGGACTGACTGTATATATGTATTTCAGGGTTTGCAGAGTAAAGAACCGCACCCTGGCTAGAGAAAACTTCATTCATTAAAGAGCATGGATGTGCGATGAGTATGGAGAGTCGCGCTTTCCCAGTACATTCCGCAGGGGGTAAACCAGGTGGTGCTTATGTGTGGCCCTCCAAGATCCTGCGGTTTGAACAAATTGATGACATGCTTCACCAAGGATCAAGGCAAGGGCTATGGCCCAAGACCAGGATGAAGCGGCAGCCCCACTCAACGCAGAACTCCAGGCTAGCTGCCATGCTGCCTTCAGCCTCAGCTCTCTCACTCGTTTCTCAGAAAAGGCTGAGCTTCCACAGGGTCTTTTTCATTACACAATTGGAACTGTGCGGTTTCCAAGATTCCGCTGCTCACCAGGAACTGTTCCATGAAAAGCTTCGACTGAGCTCCCCTATATAGCCCTCTAGCTCATGTTCAAAAGCTCCCTGGAAAGAACACATGCTGGATAAAGTACAAGCCATGAAAGCCACTGTGAGTGAGAGCCATGATCCTGTGCTGAGCTGCATGGAGGCAGGTGTTCCCAACGTTTTTGAATGCAAAGATATCTCCTGAGGCTTTCGGAAACAGTGCCGGAAAAGGCGTTGGGTTCGGGTCAGTTCTGAACTACAGCGGCTTTCCACGGGTCAATTGACATCGACACCCACAAGTGTTAGTTGGTTGCGTTAATGCTATAATTACTGGGTCTGATTCATGTGACAGTGGACATTGACACAAAAAACTTGTGCTTGCTTGTGGCACTTTATAATTGTACACACAGGTGTGCAGTGCATATGTTCAAGCACTGCATACACAATACATCTCCGGCATCAAACCCCCGAAGAATAGAAAAAGGCGGGGAGTCCATCAATCAACAAAACTATCAGACTAGGCCACTTGAGCATCTTGTCATGAACTGTTGAGGCAATCCCCGGCCACTCCATAGTTGACTCCCTGCGCCTGGCAATGAATCAAAGATGGTTTCCAAGGCGCACTGGCAATCCTGGGGGG